TATAAGGGGATCTTACCTTCATTAAACAAAAACCATTTCAACAAGGAGCAATTTAAAAAGAGTATGATGTAACAAAGGCTCAGTAGCCAAGATAAAACCATGGTGAAAGTGATAGGAATACATTTTCATTAAAGTAAATCAAGCTTAGTAAAAAATCTGAAAAGCATTCCTGGAACAGAAAAATTTAAAAGTAATAAAAATGTAGATAATGAGGAACAATACAGAGGTGGGAGGAATAAGTTCAAGTATTCAATAGTATACTAGGGTGACTACCGCTTATCACAATTTATTCTAAGTTAATTAAAAGAGAAGAGTTCAAAGGTTCTCTACACAAAGATATGACCCAGGTTTAAGAAAGTAGAAATGCTAATTACCCAGACTTGATCATCATACATTGTACACATTTATCAAACTATCACACTATACCTGATAAGTATGAATAATTATGTGTCAATCAAAAATTTTAAAAAAGAATAAGATGTAAATCATGGATAATTAAAAAATAGTTAACAAAAAGAGGTATTAAAAGTTACAATAGAAAACCTGCTCATCTAAAAACTTAAAAAAAGAATCCTCCCCATGCAAAGCAAAACAAACCACCTGAATTTTAAGAAATCAAGAAGTCTTACAAATTCCAGGCAAAATTAACAAGTGATATACACACTCCAGCTAACTTTTAAAATTTCAAAGAAATCAAAGTCATCTTACTATTGAGACACATGTATACCCATGTTTCTCACGGCACTATTCATAATTTTATGGGATTAGTCTAGGTGACATCAATGGATGAGTGGATAAAGAAAATATGGTGTATATATATATACACAATGGAGTTTACTCAGCTATTAAGGAGAATGAAATTATGTCATCTGCTAGAAAATGGACAGAATGGAAATCACCATGTTTAGTGAAACAACCTAGTTACACAAAGACAAGTATCCAAGTTTCTCATTTGTGAAAGCAAGGGGGAAAACAAAACAAACAAAACCAAGGTCACAAAAAGGGAACTACTAGGGAGGTGGAAGAGGAAGGAAAATAGGGAGAAAGGGTAATTTATGCAAGCTAGGGAAGTGGTGAATATGATCAAGGTACATTATATGCATGTATGGAAATATCATGATGACTAGACCCCTTAGTAGGTACAATTTAATATACATCAATAAAAGAATTTTATAAAAATGTCAAGGAAATAATAAATATTGCAGAGGACTAAAGGAATAGGAGAGAGGGACTGTGCCAAATAGGAAAAGAGCAGCAGGGTGAGAAAACAAGAGAGGTGAGTTAACACTCCTATAATCTAAACTGAAGTTACCAAATAAAAATCCAATCTGGACTTAGTAAATGTCTGAGGACAATGAAAAAAATAGCCCAGTTTGGATGAAAATGGATTGTTACCCAAATACTTTATATAAAACTAGTTATTCAAGAATGAAGGTAGGCTGGGCCCCAGTGATTCACACCTAGCTTCTTAGGAGGCAGAGATCAGGAGGATCAAGGCTCAAAGTCAGCCCGGCAAATAGTTCAAAAGACCCTATCTTAAAAGAAACCATCACAAAAAAGGGCTGGCTAGATGGCTCAAACGATAAGAATGCCTGCCTAGCAAGTTTGAGTTCAAGCTCCAGTACCATCAAAAAAAAAAAAAAAAGACAGCAAAGGTTTATGCTAAATCTCCCAGATAGCTTTCCTGATGCTCAGATATTTCCTGACTCTCTCAGAGACAGTTTCACATGACAGCAGTGGACTCCCGTTGAACAATTTACACAATGCTCTTTTTCTAGGAATTTCCCTTTTCCCTCATCTGCTTCTGAACTTCATGGTGATTGGGGGATAGGGAAAAGGAATGTGTTTGTGTGCTGGTTTCTTCTGCTTCCTTTATCTGTGGGGAGCAGAGTATGAGAAGCCTATGAGAACTTGACAAAAGCACAGCTATATGGAATAATCTGCAGGCTGAATTTGGCACAACCCCAGCTGCAGAAGAGGGTGAGGGCAAAATGCAGCACCGCTGTTTTTCCTAAGATGTTTATGTTCAGAGAATTAGCATTCACAGTTTCCTCCTGTTACAGTGTTATACCCCTCCCCAAGAACTGTTGCTACACCTCCTTGTTTGCCATGGTATATAAAAGACTTGCTGAAGGAGGATGTGGGGAATTGGTTGGCTGCTGGCCGCTGTGCTGATGTTGCTGATGGCAATGTTGTGTCTGCAAGTCTAAGGACCAAGACTTTAGGAGTTATGCTAGAGATTGGAAGAAACATGGCACAGTGCAAGTCTGAGGACCCACACTTAACAGAATGGAAAAGAAGAAAGGCTTTAAAGAACAGAAAAGTAAGGTTTTAAGAATAGAGAAAAGAAGCAAAGTAAAAGAAGAGAAGTAAAAAAGAAGTAACAAGGCTGCTGTGCGTCTCCATCCAAGCACCCAGCACACTTGATCCCAGCTTTACTGCATGTTTGTCTTCTATCTTTTGTCCTTTCTGCATCTCCAGTAGCCCCCAGTTAGGTCAGTAGGACAAGAGCTCATGAAGCTCGCGAGATTTATCGCTGTGTTCTTCCAGATTCAAGGAAACTAAATTTCAGAGCTATCTACTTTACAAGTGCCAGTTTACAATCATCCCAACAATCTCTGAAGGTGGGTTTCCTATTTTTACAGACAAGGACTCAGAGGCACAGAGAAATCCAAATTCAATGACATGTCTGAGATCCCTAAGCTAGCCAGCCAGGATCTGCTACTGTAGCCAGAGCTTCTACCATTAAACCATGCCTCCAGGCTCAACAACACTGTTTTAAAAAGCTTATTCAACAATTTCCTCAACAGATCTTTCAGTTTTATTTTTGCTGCAAATGAAATACAGCTATGTACATTTGAGAATATTTACTGATTCTATTTGCAAACTGCACCTTATTCTACATGTTTAAAATATTTTTTATCCAGCTGGGTTCCAGTGGCTCATGCCTGTAATTCTAGCTACTCAGGAGGCAGAGATCAGGAGGATTATGGTTTGAAGCCAGCATTGGGCAAACAGTTCAAGAGACCCTATTTCAAAAATAAGTAACACAAAAAGGGCTGGCAGAGTTGATCAAGTGGTACAACACCCACCTAGCAAGCATGAAGCCCTGAGTTCAAAAGTAACAACAACAAAAAATATACCCTTTCCCATTCACTGAGGCAGAATACCAGTATTATAGTTATAGCAGAACCTTTTTTGGGGGACAGTATTGGGTTTGAACATCCAGCTTGCTAGTGCTAGGGATGAACCGAGGACCTTGTGCACTACTACTGTTGTAGAACCTCTGCTCTGAGTCCTTGCTCTACGATTGAGTAATGTCCCCAGTCCTTAGGGATTACAGGCACGCACCATCATGTCCAATTTAATACAGATTTTTATGTTAACTGTGATGCACACTCAGATCCCTAGAATTTTAAGAGAACCATACTAAATTTTACAAGAAAATCTGGGTTCAAGGAATTAAGAGTTTTTGACCTGACAAAGTATTTAAAACAAAACAAAAAAACCCAGAACCCCCCTCCACAAAACCCGTAACAAGAATATTTAGGACTTTTTTAAAAGTAAAAAAGCAGTAATAAATAGCTCCAGTGATAAGCAGCCATCTCTTGTCATGGACACCTAAAATATGCCAAATCAAATAAAGACAATCAGATTCCAAGAAACAGAGCCCAGATAAAATGTCACTGGAGTTCTCTCCGTTCATTAATAGTTGGAAAGTCAGAAGTCAGGTACGTGGCCGTAAGCGGGCTCACCATTGTCATATGGTCTCATCTTTCTTAACACAGTGTCTGGAGAAAGAGATTTAACATTTGCCTGTGCACGACTTTTTAAAAGTAAGAGCTCAAATAAAGATTTCCCTTCACTCAACACTTTTTGCAGTCTTTGGCAGTATAGTTTTCTTCATATCTTTCTTGTGTGTGTGGGGGGGACTGGGGTTTGAACTCAGGGCTTCGTGCTTGCAAGAAGGTGCCTGAGCCGCACCTCCAGTCCATTTTGAAGATGGGGGTTTCATGAACTATTTGCCTAGGCTGGCCTCAAAACTATCCCCTGGATCTCACCTGAGAAGCTAGGATTATAGGCGTGAACCATGAATGACTGATACTCTGCTTTTTCATATCTTTTTAACTGTAAGATCCTAAGAAAATTTCCTTTAAGTTTCGGGTTAATATGAAAGGTATTCAGTTTTGTATTTTTTTTTTTTTTTGAGGTATTAGGTTTGAACTCAGGGCCTATACTTTGAGCCACTCTACCAACTTCTTTTTCTTGTGATAGGATTTTTCGAGATAGGTTCTCTCAAACCATTTGCCTGGTCTGGCTTCAAACCATCCTCCTGATCTCTGTTTCCTGAGTAGCTAGCTAGGATTATAGGCATGAGCCATGGTACCCAACTTGTTCCTTTCTTTTTTGGACAAGTTTAATAGGAATTCTCATAGAGAATAAGGTATAAATAAATCTCATTTTTCTCTTTTTAAAAACATTTTGAAAATTAATTTCAATATACTTCCTTTTGTATGAAGTATACTTTATACTGTTAGTACCATTATTCTGAGATGTACACTAAACCAGAATACCAAATGGTATGAAAAAGAAGAGGATCACCTGGTTTAACTGGATTTTAGGGCATATGGATTATAATGTAATATCTACTCCAACTAATGCAGATTTTGACTGTATTTATTTTATGTTTTAACCATTACAATGTGTATATTTTAAATATTTATATATGTATGTATTTATCGCTTCATACAGTATAGGTGTTACGAAATACAACATCCAAGTCCTGCTACCGTACTCCCCAAAAATAATTATATGATTGTGGGTATTTTTCCAGCTATTGGCTATACACACATACACACTTCAGCTGCTAATTTGCTCTGCTCTGATTTCCTAATAACAGAATGCTCACTTTTTTTTTTTGGTACTGGGGTTTGAACTCAGGACCTACACTTTGAGGCACTTCATCAACTCTGATTTGTGATGGGTTTTTTTGAGATCAAGTGTTGAGAACTATTTGCCCAGCTGGCTTCAAACCATGATCCTCCTGATCTCTGATGCCTGAGTAGCTAAGATTACAAGCGTGAGCCACCAGCACCTGGCAGAACACTCACTTTGACAGAGAAATGTGACCAACAAAGTTTGAACAAGGAAAAGCATTTGGTTGTTTCTAATTCTCTACATTAAAAAAAAATTACTTTCAGGGAAATGCAAACTGTAATTTATAGTAATATTACATGTTCCCACTAGAGCTGGCTAGTAGGTTTTATTATTTTTGAGATATAAGTATTGCCAAAGTTTTCACCTTGGCATATTTAAGCAGTAAATCTGTGAAGCTTCTAATTGAAACAAAACCAACTACATGTATACTAAAAAAATCCACAATTATTAACAGAAACAAGCAAAGTAAGTTATCTAGGTTATACTGATAATCTAAAGGCATACTCCATTACATTCTTAATGCATTAAATTGATATTGAAAAAGAAACATTTTAATAAAGAGCAATAAAAGCCAAATTACAGCCATTTGTTAAAGCGGGCATGCTTGTGCTCTCTCTTTTTTTTTTAAATTCTAAGGTACAACAAAATCAGTTCAGGGGCTTTTGTCTGAACAAATAATCCTATGTTCTTTCCCACAACATGCTCCTAAACAATCTTCTAAGTCTAATCAGTCACATAAGATAATGAATGAAGGGAGCCATCTTTCATATTTGTTGCTTATAATTCCTAAGTTGGTCAACATGCAGCATTTTCACTTCTGGGTAAGAGAAAAGGCATTTTGGTCCATTAATTCACCTACTCGCTCCTGAAGGACATTAACCAACTCTGCTATTACAAAGACATGCGTGTCGTCAATGTCTTGAATGATGAACCTCTTCCCTAAGGCATTGGACTCATCCAAATACAAGAGAAATTGCTTCATGGCAGGATCGCTGTAGAGACAAACACATGATTACAAGACATCTTGTGGTTAAACCACAGCACAAAGACTTGAGCAATTAAATTTGAGCATCCAGAATTTTTAAGATGATTTTTTTAAAGTTGTGCACCATTACTCAGCCCCTCATTTCCTCTCTGCCTCAAGAGAGATTTATGGATATGACTTCATTTTACAACTTTAGTTAAAGCAAGTTTTTTTTTTTTTGTGGTACTGGGGCTTGAACTCTGAATATGTCCTTAATCTTCCAGAGCCTCTCTTCCCAACTATAAGTGAGCCCACATAAGGGAACTGTTATGGAAATTAAAGGCAAAAGGTACTAAGGACAGTGTTGGGCTAGCAGTAGGTAGTCAAGATTCTTTCCTTCTTAAAATTTAGACTTGAACTAGTGTGAACTATCACTAAGATTCTTTGAAAGAAATCCTAATAATAAAACTGCTTTGTGGAGGGAGGGAGGATAAAAGAGAATGATGGAGGGGAGAATCCAATTATGATATATTGTAAGAACTTTTGGAAATGTCACAATGTATCCCCAGTACAACAACAACAATAAAACTGCTTTGTGACTACTGAGCTCAAAGAAGAGATCCAAATTAAATTTTGTTTACTTGTTTTTAGTTTGGAATGAACAGGGTGGTCAAAGGGAAAGAGAAATACAATTAATTTCTTGACAGGCAGTACAGACTTACAGCAATATGACTCTTTCATAAAAACCCTGAATCAAGATACAGGACAACTCTTTAGATCTAAAAATAATAATGTATTTAACAAAAGATGATAAAAATGTCAATACAGATTTTTTTATCAATTACAGAGGTAACAGTTTAATACAAAAGTGGTCATGTAATTTACTGAAAACAATAAAAGCAAGCTTTTATGATTTCAAGTATAAACATGGGCATTAAATAAAGCTATCCATGTGTTTATTTCAATTACTAGATCACGTTGGAGATGATCTGGGGGATTTGGGCTTTTACTGAGTGACATGATTTAACTTACAAACTAACTTAAATTTAAATGTAAGGTCGTATTTGCTGCTGACTGAGAAAGACCAGGAGAGGCAGAGGCAAGGGTGGAAACAGGGAAAGCAATTGGTAACCGCAATAATCCAAGCAGATGATTTGGACTCAGTGGTGACAGTGGAGATGAGAAGTGGTTGAAAACAAGCTAACGTAACTTGAGTCTAGACGTGAGTTTTCACAGACAGAACCAAAGAGATTCCAAGAGTTTTGGTCTGAGCAGATGGAAGGATGGCACAATCTTTTACTAAGATAAGGAGGAATGTGGAAAGAACAGCTTTGCAGTTAAGATCAAGACTTTGTTTTTAGGTAGGTTACCCGTAACATGCCTATGCACCCAAAGGAAGAAGCTGGTTACATAATTCTGGAGGTCAGTGGTGAAAAGTAAAATTCAGTCATCAAGATATAAACAGTATTTAAAGCTGACAAAGGAGTGAGTATAGCTATAAAGAAGAGTCCAGGATAGAGCCCTGGGTGCTCCAGTATCAAAAGGTAAGGAAAAAAATGACTCAGTAAAGAAAATCATGAAGAAGCGGTCACAGAGGCAGAGAGTTCTGAAGTCCTAGGGCTCAGTGAACAAAGGCTACTCAGAACAAGGGAGTGAGCAATTGCGCCATATACTGCTAATAGGTAAAGTCAGAGAAGTGACCACTGGATTCAGTGACCAAGCTTGACAAGAATAATTTGGGTGGAGTGCCAGGAGCGGGCTTTAGAATAGGAGGGCAATTAAAGAAAGTGAATAGAAGATCTTCTGAGAAATTTCGCTACAGCAAACAGAAAAGAGAATGGGAGCTGAAAAGGTAGGAGATGAACAGATTGCAGGTCTGGTAAACTGGAAGAAATCATATAGAGAGGGTCCTACACAGAGCCAACTGGGAAGAGGAAGTAGTGGTCAGAGTCAGATGCCTGAGAACAAGATTCTGAGGAGACGGTGGTGTTGGAAAGGACAGGTCTAGATAGGCTGATGTAAAAGGAAAGCTACTGAAGAGTTAACAAGTAGCCTTCAAGGAAAAACCTTTAGGAAAGATCTGGATGTTTGTAGATGATTATAAAAAAGGAGGGTTAATGGGTGGTCAAGCCTGAAATCTGAGATTCATAACTGGGAATTTCTGTGGAATAGGGTGGGAGATGTGACAGTGGGGAGCAAGGTAAGTACCTGTCCTGTTTTCTGATCCAGTGATACAAAAGGTATTAGAGGGGGCTGATGGCGTGGTTTAAGGAATAAGAGTGCCTGCCTTGCAAGCCCTGGGTTCAAATCCCAATACTGGGGGTAAAAAGAAGCTATTAGAGGGAAAAAGTTACCACTTGGTAGGCCTGTGGAAGCAGTGCACATAGGAGAAAGTCCAGTTTTCTTGTAGCAAAAAGGAAAAGACGGTGGTGGAAAGAAGACATGGGATTCTGCTGCTGATTCCTTGCTACATTCCAGAAGGCAGTGTGGAAAGGATTAAGGAGAAGAAAATTTATAAGATAATGGTACTCCAAGGGATGAAAGATGGTTAGGGAGTCTGCAGCTTGCTGGGTAATCAACAAACAGGAAAAGGAAGCACAAAATGCCTAATAAGAATAAGGGTCTCCAGGCAAACTGAGACATAGGACTGAAAGGGAGAAACAAATGATGGTGGGTGGGAGTGAGAATGGCAAAGAGACCACAATAGTCGCAGATCTAAGCAGATACAAAAATGTTAAATTTCACATTTTTTGGCAATTATACTGAATAAAAAATAAAAAGCTTTCTAAAGCAGCAGCAACTATACACTGAGAAATCTCACTGAGGTAAACAACTTATCCATTATGGACAAAGAGCCCTGGGAGAAACAGAAAAAGGAATTAAAGAGCAATTCTAGAAGGACTGTGGGGTTGATGCAGCCAGTTTAACAGGGTGCTTCCAGATGATATTGCAGAAAAGAAAATGAGGCCCATAGGACCAGGAAACCAAAATTTCAGCTCCTCTGAAACTACTGTTTTTTTTCCTTCTCAGACTCACTTTGCTATACAAATATGGGTGTGAGGTTAGGGTGGGGAATAAAAGATCAGTTTAGAAAGAGGCAGGTGTGAGAGCTGGGGGATAAAGGAGATAGGCAAAACCCCTTAGCTTAGTCGTCTATAACCAAGTTGATTCCTCGTTTCCATCTAAACAAGAGACAAGAGAAGATGTAGGTGGTGACCTTGGTGTCACTTTATCTTCTTTTTGTCCTTGACTGTCTCAATTCCCACAAAAACCTCATATATTCTATAAAAATCATACATTCAAGAGGTTTCTTGGAAGAAATACAATTTACACAATGGGAGGGACAATTGTTTTATAAAATAAACTTCAGTTCCAAATGTAGCAATAATAACAAGACATTACAAAATTACTGTCTAAATGTGCTATATTATTTTGTCACTGATTGAGTTTAGGGCATTCATAGATGATTCAAATTTACTCTCAGTAATTGGTTTGGAGGGCTGGTGAAGTGGCTCAAGTGGTAGAGCGCCTGCCTAGCAAGTGTGAGGCCCTGAGTTCAAACCCCAGTGCTGGAAATAAATAAATAAAATTAAAAAAATAATAAATAAATAAAATAAAAATAATTGGTTTGGACTAAGAGGTTTAAGGACAGCAAGGATAAGTGGTTATGAAGTCTAGTATCTATAGAAATTTTCTGAATGGAACAAACGTATATCACTTCAATGAAGTAAAAGATAAACCAAAGAAACAAAGGACCGCTGTGGGGCTCGCCTGCTAAATCATCCTGCCAGCACTTCCAGAATTGTTGCCATTCGAATATTTATCACTGTTGTTTAGTCACCTCTTATAACATCTTCACTGGAAATTACTCCGTATTTTTCTTTAAATTGTCTTTAAATTAAATACAAGATTTTAATGTGTTAAGTTCCATTTTTTTCCTCTCAAAAAAATTTAAACTGGTCATAGGGAAAAACCTTGTGTGTTCTATACCCTAAAATCATCTTAAACACCAATAATTTAAACCCCCCAGTATCTGGGGGAAACTGCCAGCTAGCAAATGAGTTTTGCTCAGAAGAATGGCTGACCGACCAATGAGACAATGAAATAATTTTCTCTTAATGTCAGTTGCCTCAATTGAACCCTTTTTTTTTTTTTTTTTGGTGTAGAGGATTAAACCCAGGGCCTTGCATATGTTAAACATGTACTTTATCATCAAGCTACAACTCCAGCCCTCCCACTAAATTTAAGAGAAAAAAGAAGTCAAGTTGAATTCTAAAGCATGTACTTAAAATATAAATTGTAATAATTCAAAACATGTTCTATTAAAAAAAACAACAAAGTTTCAGGGACATTCTGATATGAAACATGGAGGGCCTCAAATACTCTAGTCTGAATACAGGGCTATCTCACTTCTTCATAGAAGGGGGTTCTGGAAGAATCCTGATGGCAAGGTAGGGAAAAACTCTAAAACTAAGTGCATATACATACTTGGTTGAAACCCTGAGATCAAGGATATATAGCAGGAAAAAATTTCTTTGCCTTAGAAATATGAAGAGCAGATCAATCGACTGCCTCCTAAACAACCTTGGGGTTGTCTAATCTGAGCTATAAAATACGATTCTAGGGTTGGGGTGTTATTCAGTGCTACAGCACTTGCCTAGCATCTGTAAGGTCCTAGGTTTAATCACCAGTACTGTAAAACAACAACAAAAAAGATTCTAAAAAGTCTAATACCATGACTGGGTCTACCAAGATCATGCAGTTAACTGTAAAACAGACCACAAAATTAAATGGTCAGAGTTGTAAGCACGGTCCCTTCTAATTACAAAGATAATCTTGGCTTTATCAATGGTAAACTATCCTCCCAGGTAATAATTAGCCAACTGGTATATGAACTGAAATTTTTAACATATTCTTTATAAAGTTTGTATTTCCTGGGAGTCAAATGAGTGTGAAATAGTTCTGCTGATTTACTTCCCTCTTACAATATACAAGCTATAAGATAATGAAAATCTAAAGGATGAGGGATGGTTTGGGAGTCTGTGGCTTTTTGGGTGACCAACAAACAGGAAAAGGAGGCACAAAGGGCATAATTACAGAGCATATGGGTCTCAAGGCAAATGGTGACAAGAGACTGAAAGGCGGCAATAGCTATAGATGGGTGAGAGAGTGCAAAAGTCACCCATTTAAACAGATACAAGAAATGATAAATTTCCAAGTGTCTTCTGAATTTGGGTTTCGTCCAAATGAGATATGGGTGTCTAGATTATGGTCCAGTGTATGGTAGGTGTTCAATGACTATATGGTATATTAAGGTCTGAAAAAAGTGATACCACAGGGGACAGTGAGTTATCCAGAACCTCAGCCTCTAATTCTCGATTAGGTTTCTCTGTTTTCAAGACACAAGATTCCAAAGAGTGTACTGGACTCAGAAAGCTAAATCCCAAGTGACTATGTTTTGATTTTAGCCTAGTCTGCTGGAGCCTAGTTCAAAACAATAGCCTCCTGTAAGCCTTATTCAACACTCTCACCTACTATGATTCTCCCTGTGGGAAGAGAGAAGATGTCAAGGAACATTAACAACCTAGGATTTAGGCTGAGATTATAAAACCTGATTTGATTCTGTTAACCAAATTCATTTAGTAAACAAATGTTTAGTAAGCACTTCCTACACAAACATAGGTTCTAGTCAACTTGAAATGATTTATATATATATATACACACACACATATACATACATATATCTGTACATGAGAACTTAGTAATATATATGTGTGTATATATGTATGTATGTATGTGTGTATAATTTTTTTTTCGGGTACCGTTTGGATGCCTGAGAAACTTCAATGAACATGGCCCTCCAAAAAAGCAAAGACTGACAAAAGAATTATAAATACTGTGAAAGAAGAGATTAGTTTTGCCTGAGTTCTTGCTTCTCTCATGCAACACATTTAGAAGCCAAACCTACAAAAAATAATTTTACCTAATTACCTAAATACCTAATACTGACCTACTAATACATATTCCTCCAATTGTTTGCTTATGTGCTGCAAACTGGTTGGGATTTGTACCTCTGTAAAACAACCTTCCCTGATGAAGCACTTGTCAAACTAACTGTGGTAACTGCACACCAGAGGTCTGCTCTAGCACCTGGAATTGGACAGGGACATATGTTTGGCATATGCTGCTTGCTTCAGTAATCACTGTGGTTGTCTAGATTCAAGCAAATGCTGGGTGTGAGTCTGGCAGTTGATGGTACATCCCAAAAAAGATGTTTTCACTGACCTTGTTTTGATATAAAAATACAAATTCATAAACATTTTTTACTTGACTCCAGATCGGTTTTTTTTGTTTTGAGGATTGAACCCTTTCCTCACATACACTAAACACAAACTCTAACACTGAACTGTACTCCAGCACCTTCACCTTCGATTTGGTATTTGATAAGCCATGAGAGGAAAGAATCATACATTGAAGTGCCTTGATTTTTCAGTCTACTAAAGTTAGGCCCAAATGGCCACCAAAATAATTGGTTTATTTGCTTTACTATAGACTCTGTAAGTAAAAATTACAGGTCATTGTTTTGGACTAAGCTCCAATAAAGACTAGGCTAAAAATAAAAATAGAGTCACTCATGCTAAACTTTCAAGTCACTAAACTGTTTATCTGATCTGCAGAGAAATCAGATCAGATTTTCCTAAATAGGTCAGTTTCAATTGGTATGATAATGAAGTTGCTTTTGCCTTAATCCATATGCAAAAAAGGAACCATAAATAACCTGATGTAATCTTTCATTTTTTTATGGTTCTGTCTTCTTGCTTTCTTCAGGAGAAAGTTCTTGAGTTGGCGATGCAGCTCAGTGGTAGACTGGTTGCCTAGCATGCTCACTGCCCTGGGTTCAATCCTCAGTACGGATAAAAGGAACTGAAAAAAACCAGATGCTGGCTGGTGGAGTGGCTCAAGTGGTAGAGGACCTGCCTAGCAAACCTGAGGCCCTGAGCATAAACCCCAGTACTGCCAAAAAAAAAAAAAAAAGAGAGAGAGAGGTTTTAACTTGTGGTATTATCTGCAGTTTTAGGCATCAATTAGGGTGTCTTGGACTCCATCCCCCAGGGATGGATGATATTCCAATCTGGTGTCCAGTCACCACTCCACTAAAGCAGCATTCATCTATGGCCTCATCCCACACCTCACTGGTACAGCCATCAACTTCCTGTCTTAGATTCCCTTCCTACCTCACTAGCTGTTTTTTTCTTCACTGCCTTTGTTGGAATCTCCTCTGCCTAAACCATAAATCTGTACTATTCATAAGGTAACCTGCTAGTCAGATGTGACTATGAACATTGAAAATAGTCTATGAAATGTGCTGTAAAATGTGTTGTATTAACTTTAAAGATGCACTCTTACTTGAGCCATGCCCTACCTCTTTTTTTTTGAGATAGGGTTTCATTAACTTTGCCTGGGCTGGCCTCAAGCTTGAGAACCTCTTGCTTCCACCTCCCAGGTAGATGGGATTACAGGTGTGTATCATCACACCCACTTCATTCTACTTTTCAATGTAGCTACTAGAAAATTTAAGACTAGATTTAGCTACCAGAAAATTTAGCTACCAGAAAATTTATGTGGCTTGAATTATATTTCTATTGGACATTGCTAGTCTAAGTGTTGGAGGTATTCTAGGGTTTGGCCTTGTTCCTCCTCCAGCTTTGCCAACACAGTAAATGTAACATTACCCATGCAACAGCTCATATTAGAGATGAAAAAAAGTAGATAGTATTATCAGACAATTGGAGTGTCCACAAGGCAGGCTTCCCAGATGAGAGAATGGGGCAAAAACAATCAAGTGAAGACTGCAGGGTTGTTCCAGAAGTGCAAGTTTCAGGACTGGGTGATAACTAAGCCCTGCATTTCAGATTGCCTTGAGGAACTCAACCCTGTTATGGCTCCAAGGTCCTTTCTTATTCTCCTAGTGGGAAAAATGGCTCTCTTTTCTCTTTTTTAAACACCACAGTTCATAATGGGGAAGACTTAAGTTCTTGAACTCTTGCCAGCCCTAACATAACTAGTCAACTCCTAAGGTCTGAGGAAAATGCAAACAGATTTTCTAATGGGAACTCGTCTAACAAATATACTGCCTCTGATTTAAAAAAAATTGTTGGAAACAATGCCAATTACATCAATTCAACAGAGACACTTAAATGTAGCATCAGAAAGAAACTTAGCAACAAAATGAAAAACCAGATAGGATTTTAGAAAACGCATACACGTAAATCAAGATTCAAAATGTAACCTTAAAACTCATGAAATTTCAAAGCTACTAACCATTCTATAAGCACTCCTTTCAAGACGTTGACCATCTTTTCCCAGCTAGGTGCAGATGACCTCAAGAATGCTAATAAAAAAGGATAAAGTAACAAAGAAAAAATTCAAAAGCATCAACTTCAATATACTTTGGGGATTTATCTCTGAAATGAGACAAAATATTAAATGTCAATATTTAAGTCCATGGAAGACAGTTAATACTAAGAAAACATAAATTCCAATCTTAACAAAACCATAGTGAGCCTACTTGGCATATTAACAAGGCATGAATCTTACTTGCAAACAAAATTTAGCAAGGGCCAATTAATAAGTGTGAGATCCTGGGAGGTAGTAATTACAGAATAGCTGTTCTGAAAGGACCCTCAAAAATTGCACTGGCCTGCCCAATTTATTTTATAAAGGAGACCGAGTGGGAGACTTAAGTCATAATTTCTGCCCCTCCCCCCCAAAATCCAAGACAGATGGCCAGATTTCGTGTTCCTTCGTTAAATAAGCCACAGGATCCCTCAAAGATCTGCGCAGGAAGATCGCCGCTCAGTGCGCTCCAACCTAACCCTTCAACTTCTACACCTGGGCGCGGGGTCACTCGCCCCCACAGGAAACCCGCGAAGTAAGCACGGAACGGCGGCCCGACCCGGGCACGTGGGAGCATGAAGGACACGGTCCTGCCCGTCCCCCCACCCCCAGCGCTAACAGGCCAGGATCTGGGTCTTTTTCCTCCTCCCCGCTTTATGCCGTATCGCACCCACTCCACTTTCCCTAGCGGCTCCGAAGCTCCACACACACCTCCACCAGCAGACCCAGCGGCGCCTCGGCGTCACCGACAAAGTGCGCCTGTGCCGTTACGTCAGCGCGCCAGGGACGTTCTTGTGGGTGGAGCGCGCCGGCAGGAGGCGGGGCCGGGCGGAGCTGACGGGGCGGGGCTGACGGGGCGGGGCTGGCGGGGCAGGGGCGGGGTCACGTGCCTCGGCAGCTGGTTGAGGACGCCTGCTGCTAGCGGCGGAGGAAGGTTTACTCGCAGGTCGGCGGGATCCCTCGGGCGCTGTTGGGGGCAGGCTGAATCCGCCCACGGGCAGGTAGGAAGGGGAGGGGGCTAGGGGTTTGTCGCGGCGGGGTGTGGGGGAGGACGGCGACCCCCAGAGGGATGAAGCGCCGCCGTGAGTCGCGCGGCCCACGGACCCCAGGACCCGCCGCGGGCGTGAGGGCCTCTGTCCGGTCTTCCGCAGCCCGAGGCCCAGAGAAAAAGCACCTACCGATGCATCGTGCCGGCCTCCGTAGGAATAACAAGGAGGCAGACACCTTAGTCACACCTGAGTCCGCCAGGCCGCAGCTTCTTTGCCCTTTCTCTGACCCGGGACATTGAATAGATCGCATACGGATGGTCTCTAAACCCCCAAAAGGGCATTTTCGAATGAAAGCCTCTAGAAGGTTCCCGAATTCTAACCTGTGGTCTAACAGAGTTCATTATTTTTACCAGTTTGGTAGGAGGTTGTTGCTTTCTGTTCCTTAGGTTAGGTTGTGCTTCCACATCAAACCCAGGCTGCTTTTTGCTCTGTGTGCGCGCGTGTGATCTCTTACGAACATAGCCTTCCATTTATTTTCCCGTTTCTGCCTCTCAAATCTTACCGTATCTTTCCGTTCTCGTTCATATTTGTCCCCAAGTATCTTCGCTTCTTTCCTTCTTCACTCCATTTTGATCCTTGACAGTCAGTCATCCATCTCATGAGTATCTTCACTTTGGACTGCCACTCCAGCTCCAGGTGCCGACTGAGGTTTGCACATTAATGACCTGTTGAGTAATCTAAACTCCGCTTGTCAAACTGAGCTCATTTTCACCTCTCACCCTCACTTCAAAACCTGCTTTTCTCCAAATTATCCAGATATAAAACCTCCGCCTACTTGTTCAACAAACGTTTCTGTGCACCTCTGACATGTACCGGATACTAGACCCTTGGGGTACAGTGGTGAACAAGTAACTAACTTTGTGGGAACAGAGAGACACTAAGTCAGTGAACAAGAAGGTACCAGATGTAATGTGATAGTGACTGGAAGAATTACTTTGGTCAAGAGGAATCAGAAATGGTCTTCAGTTCAGGAAGACTTCCAAATTAAATTTGTATAAACCAGGAGTTTTAATGAGATACTATTCACAATGGCACCCAGAACTAAAGGTGTGTAATTCTTCTCTCCTCTCCCCCATACTGAAAATTTTGAGACACACCTTCAGCTAAACTTTTTTAAATTTATTTTTTTGAGTTCCTGGTGGTTAAATTCAGGGCTTCATGCTTGCTAAGCAGGCACTCTACCACTTGGCAGTGCTGGGGATTGAACTCAGGGACTTGCACTTGCTAGGTAAGCACTCTGCCACTTGAGCCCTGCCTCCAACCCTTTTGCTTTTAGTTTGTTTTTCAGATAGGGTCTTTTTTTGTGGGTTTGAACTCAGGGCCTGATACTTGCTAGGCAGGCACTCTACTACTTGAGCTACTCTGCCAGTCCTTTTTTGTGTTGGTTATTTTCAAGATAGGGTCTCTTGAGTTATTTGCCCAGACTGACTTCGAACCTCTTGATCCTCTTGATCTCTGCCTCCCAAGGATTACAAGTATGAGCCACCAGTGCCTGGCCCCTGTGTAATTCTTTAGGAAGAAAATTATTATGCTCTATTGAAACATGTAAAAGAAGACCTAATAAATGAAGAGTTATACAATATTTATGGATGGAAAGACTCAGTATCAAAAAAGATGACAGTTCTCTAATGGTATAAATTCAGTGCAGTGCCAGTTAAAATCACTATGGTCTTTCCTGAAACTCGAGGTATTAAACCTAAGATTTATATAGAAAGGCAAAAAACCAAGAGTAGCTAAATCATTTTTGAAGAAGAAAATTAAATATGATCCCTCCCTATCAGGTATCCAACCTTACTATGAAAGCTGTAATAGTTAAGACAGTATGGTATTGATTTGGGATAAAAAAGTAGATCCATGGCAAGGGGGGGGTTGGGGGGGGCTCATACATTGTATACACATGTAAGTAAATGTAAAAACAATAAAAGGAGATTCATGGAGCGAAGTAAGTGCCTTGAAACACACCAGGTACCTATGTGATACTTAGTACACTAAGTGGTGTCACAAAGCAAAGATAAAAGCAAAGGCTGTTTATTCACATTGGTAATTTCCAGGTGGATTAAAGACCTAAACGTGACTGAAAGATGCATCTGCAAGATATTTAGAAAAAATATGAGACTATTGTCTCTAGGAAAGATTTCTTGCTTTACCTTTAGTGAATGTCAGTCCACATTTCAGTGGATTTCATATTACTGTGCAAGCATTACTACCATCCATCTCCAGAACTTTTACAGCTTCTTGAAAAGGATTGCTTGCTTGCTTTCTTCTTTTTTTTTTTTGGTGACAGTACCAGGGTTTGGCAAGGCTTTGCACTTGGTAGGCAGGCCTCCTAACAAGCACCTGAGCCATGCCTCCAGCCCTTAAGAAGGATTTTTTTGTTATAAAAAGCACTGTTAAGAATGCTGCTGTGTCACTCCAAACAAGAGTTGATGGTGATTTGAACTAGACAAGATTAGTAGCAATGACGATGACAAAAAGTAGACTGCTCTGGAATATGTTTTTGTTTTGTTTTTCTAGCAGCACTGGGGTTTGAATTCAGGGCCTCTTCCTAGGCACTCTACTGCTTGAGCCATGCCACCAGCCCTTGGGATATGTTTTGATGACAGAGAAAGGAATTGTGCACGGCTTGGCCATAGAGTGGAGAAAAAATAAGGAATCAGTGGCAACATCTAGGTGTTTCGCTTTAGCTACAAGGTAGCTTATTTACAACAAAAACCAGTACAGTTTGGTTGATGGTGATGGAGGAGATGAGTGGAGGAATAGTTTTGGGGAAAAAAAAATTCTGGGGCTGCTGGTGAAGCTCAGGTAGTAGAGTGCTTGCCTAGCAAGTGTGAGGCCCTGAGTTGAAACTCCAGTACTGCTGAAAAAAAGAGTTCTAATTCTGTTTTGGACAGTTAAGTTTGAAAGATCTATTGGACAGCTAAGTGGAAGTATTTGTTGGGGATGCAGCAGTTGAATAGTTGAGTCTAGAAAGATTTGGAATCACTGGCATGTAGGTATTTACTGCTGGGATGGGTTAGGATTAGTTTTAGTTCTATTACACAGAAAATACAACATAGTAATGGCCTGATTACATAGGTAGGCCATCCATACATAGTAAAGCAGCCATCAGAAACTTGAATTATTCTGTCTTGCTGCTGTGCCATCCTTAGCAAGACAGACCATTTAATACCACTGTCACTTGCTTATTCTAGAAAGAGAGAGGAGGGAAGAATGAAGAAAGGCACATACTCTTTAAGGACACTTATCAGAAGGTGGCACATGTCACAGCCACTTATTATATTCTATTAGTTGACTCTTAGTCACTGACCACACTTAACTAGAAAGAAAGAAAGGTAATGTAATCTTTGTTCAATTATCTGTCTGCCTAGCTACAATTTAGGCTATATTAAGAAGAATGAGAGGGTGGGACTGGAGGTGTGTCTCAAGAGGTAGAATACCTGCTTTGCAAGTATGAAGCTCTGAGATCAAACCCAAGTCCCACCTAAATGTGTGTGTGTATGTATGTGTGTATGTATATAAAATTATGTGGAAGTACCAAGGAACTAAAATAGTTCATTCTGAAAAAGAAGAAGCCGGTGTGCTGGTGTACACCTGTAATCCTGGCATCACTGCGGCTGAGGCACAAGGATCAGGAGTTTGACACCAGGCTGGGCTGTGAGACCCTGTCTCAAAAACAACCCAAAAAAGCTGAAAAAAATGTACACTACCTAGCTTCAAGACTTATCAGAAAACTACAGTAATCAAGACAATGTATATTTATATAAGGATAGACAGATCAGTGGAATGGAATGGAGTCCAGAATAAGTTCTAGTCAGTTGATTTTTGGACAAGGTCAAAGTCCCTTCAATGAGAAAGGGAAAATTGTTTCAACAAATTTTGCTGGAACTATTGGATATCCATGTAGAAAAAAAATTCTGCCTCAACTTTTATCTTACTTGATACAAGAGTTAAGTTGAGGTAGATCATAGACCTAAACTGTAAAAGCTAAAACAAAGATGTCTTTTAGATAAAATCATAGCAGAATATGACATGAAAGAGGCAGCAGTTTGTCAGATAGGCTGTAGAATGCAGTAACCAAAAAAGAAAGAAAATTGATAAAACTGGATTTTCAAAATTAAACTCCTGTTCATCAAAAGGTACCTTTAAGGAAATGAATAGATAAGTCATAGACTTTGAGAAGATAACTGCAGTATATGTGTACATATATCTGATAAAGGATTTGTTTACAAAATGTATAAAGAACTGAAATGCATTAAAGAAAACACAAACCAATTTAAAAATGAGGAAAAGACTTGAAGACACTTCACAAAAGAATATGTTAAATGGTTAACATGCATTTGAAAAAGTGCTCAACATGGTTAGTTTCTGGAAGTTTCAAATTAAAAGCACAACGAGATACTACAGTGAACCCACTAAAAAGACTAAAATCAAAACAGGCTGATAGCATCAGATATTGGTAAGAGAAGCAGAGATAGGGTCCATATGGATCCAGGCCTGCCCAGACAAAATGTTAGTGAGACCCTATCTCAAAAAACAAGCCCATTGTGTAACACCCACTTGTGGTCCCAGCTACTCAGGAGGCAGAAGTGAGAGGGTTACTGTTTGTGGTCAGCCCAGGCAAAAGTGCAAGACCTATAAAAACAAACTAAAGCAAAAAGAACTGGAGGCTTCACGTGGTAGAGTGCTCGCCTAGCATGTGTAAGGCCCTGAGTTCAATCCCCAGCACCACCAAAAGATAAAAAATAAAATACTGCCAAGAATGTGGAGCAACTGGAATCCTCAGACTCCATCTTTGTCGGGTGCAGTGTAAAGTACAGTTGTGTTGGGAAAATATTTAGCAGTGACAAAGTTAAGCACGTATCTTTCCTGTGACCCAGCAGTTTCTCTCCTGGGCACTTACTCAAGAGATACGGAAGCATATATCCACAAAAAGATGTACCAGAATATTGGTGATCCCCCAAAGATGTTCATGCTCTAATCCTTGGAACCTGTGGATTGTGTTTTACTATATGGCACAAGGGACTTTGCAGTTGGAATGAAGCTTTCAGAACTTAAATGAGATTATTTTTGGTGATCTGGGAGAGTCTGGTTCAGTCACATAGGTCCTTGAAATGGAATAGGAAAGCAGAAGAGACAGAGATGGGACAACTGGAGAAGGACAAGCTCTTGTTGGTTCTGAGATATAGAGGGCTACTTGCAAAGACCAGAGGGAGGCCTGTAGGAGCTAAGGGTGGCCCAGTTAGCAGCAGCAAGGAAATAAGGACCTCAATTCTATAGCTGAATGGAACTGGATTCTGTTCATAAGCTGAAGACTGAACTCTGTGGACAACCTGAATGAGCCTGGAAGAGGATTCTCCTTCAGAGCTTTCAGTAAGGAAAAGCAGCCCTGCCAACACCTTGGTTTCTGTCTTGTGAGACTTGGAGTAGAGAAATTATATGTAAGGTAGTGTCTAGGAACCTGCATTTTATTAAGTACCTCTGCAGATAGTCCTTGGGTGACATTTTGAGTAGTGTGTGTGTGTGGTATGTTTTGTTTTTTGGTGGTACTGGAGTTTGAAGTCAGGGCCTCATGCTTGCTAGGCAGGCCTTGAGTAATACTTTTATATCCTGTTCTTTGATAACTTCATCCAAACCCATGACTTCGGTTAGTAATATATGTTGATGACTTCCATTTATGCCTATAATCTAAGATAAGACCTTTCTGCCGAGCCCACATTGCTTATTGGCTATCTTACATGAATGAATATTCCACAAAAACCTTAATCTCAACATGTGAAAGTTGGAAATTCATCCTTGCTCAAATCCATTTCTTTTCCAGTATTTCCCTGTCATGGTAAATTTTATCCCTATATACTTAGTAATTCAAGTCAGAAACTAAGAACCATATTTGCCTCTTTCCACTTAACCCATTCTCCTTGAGCTCTTGTTCAACTGGTTATCAGATTTGGTGATTCTATTGTCTTAGTATTTCATAAGTCTGGTGTGCCTGTCTGTCTGTCTGTCTGTCTCTCTCTGTAGTTGGGATTGAACCCAGGGCTTCATGCATACCAAACAAGTGCGTTACCACTTGAGTCATGCCCCTAGTCGTTTTGTTTGTATTTTGTTTTTTTTGAAAAAAGGTCTCACTGATTTTGCCAGGCTGGCCTCAAAATCAAGATATTACTGCCTGTACCTTCCAAGTACCTGGGATTACAGATGTGCACCACTATGTCAGGCTAATTGGTTTCTTCTTGATAATTCTCAGAGCACTTGCCTAACTTTTAAGTACATTTTTCTCCTTGATTATTGTTAAAAGCCTCCATATTATTTCTTCTCTAGTTTGGCTCTTCTCCAGTCTTATTTTCCATCTTGTTAATTTTTCTAAAAACAATGAAAATTTTCATTGTGTTATTCCCATTTTTTCTTTTGGCAGTACTGGGCTCTGAACTCAGGGCTTTGTGCTTGCTAGGCAGGCACTCTACCACTTGAGCCACATGCCCAGCCCTATGTGTTAGTACATTTCTTAAGGTTAATTTTCAAACAGCATCGTGTAACTCAGAGTAAGCATCCACTCTTTTATCTTACTTGAAAGGCCCTTAGTTTCAAACTCACTCAGCAGAATGAGTTAACCGAAAGCCAGTAAGGAAAAGAAGACCTGAAAAATACTATCAGCCTACTTGACCTAATAGACATTTGTAGAATACTCTCCCTAACAGCAGCAGAATATGTGTTCTTTTCAACATATGAAACATTCATTAACATGTCACAATTTGTGCCATAAAACAAACCTTAACAAAATTTAAGAGTTTGAACTTAAAGTCTGTTCTTCAGTCACAGTGGAATTAAAATATCAAAGATAACTGGGAAAAATCACAAATACTTGGGAATTAATTAGCATACTTCTCATGAGTCAAGTTTCAACTAAATAGAGTATTTTTAATTGAATGAAAGAAAAAACCACCCTGCAGATCAAGATTTGAGGGCTGTAGAGAGAGCAGTACTTAGAGGAACATTTTTTGCATTAATATTTACATTAGAAATGAAGAACTCTTGTTATCAGTGACATAAGCTTCAATTTTAAGAAACTAGGAAAAGAACTATGTGAAATCAGTGTAGACAGAAGCCAGAGAATAATAATACAAATCAATGAAATTGATAATAGAAAGCAGAGTGCTTCAATGAAACTAAAAGCTAGTTCTTTGAAAATATCAGTAAAATCTCTAACTAGGCTGGGCAAGAAAAATAAAGAAGACACAAATTGCTAAAATCAGGTATGAAAGAGAGGACATCACTTTAGGCCCTAAAACAATATGGAAATATTACTTAAAGTCTTTTTAGGAAGAGGCGCTAAGGAAGTAGCTCAGTGGAAGTGTGTGCTTTCATGTCTGAGGCCCTGGGTTGTATTTCTTGCCTCCCTCCCCTGTCCCCAAGAAAAAACCTTTTAAGGAAAAGGTTTATAAAGGTTCTTTATAAACTCTTCTAGCATATAGAAGAAGATAAAACATTTACCAATTTATAAGACCTGTATTACTCTGATATGAAGACAAGACAGCTATCATACGAAACTAGAGATTAACCTCTTTCATGAACATTAATGCACAAGTCATTAACAAAATACTGGCAAGTCAAATCCAGCAGTATGAAATGAATACTGATAGTCATATAAACACCAGGATACAAATATTTATAGTTGCTTTCTTCTAATTACTAAAAACTGAAAACAATCCAAATGCCACTCAGTTGGGGAATATACAAACTAGTGTGTCTAGTTTGTGTATGTTTCAAAGAACTCACTTTGATACATACAACATGGGTGATTCTCAGGACTAGTGGAATGGCTCAAGTGGTAGATCGCCTGCTTAGCAAGTGTGAGGCCCTGATTTCAAACCCCAGTAACACCCAAAACAACAACAAAAACACCACCAACATTGGTGATTGTCAAGTGCGTTTTTCTGAGTTAGGGTGCACGCTGTATGATTCCATTTACATGAAATTTTTACAAAGGTAAGACTATAGGGACAGTAGCAGTTTCCAAAGCTGGGTGGGAAGAGGTTTGACTTCAGAGAGGCATAGAATGTTTGGTTTGATAGAATTTTTATACTTCGAATTGACTGTGCTTGTCCAGACTCTTGTAGCTGTACATTCAAAAGGGTGACTATTACTGGATCTAAAAATGAAAAGCGTATGAACAAAATTGTTACACTGCTTTTTCCTCCTGAAGCTGAGAGGTAATCTGCAGTGTTCTTTTTTTCCCCCACTTAAGACAGGTGTATTTTAGCAGCTCAGTTCTATTACATTCTGTGTGTTTGTCCTTCAGTGCATTTGTATTTGTGTTCTACACAGGTGTTACATGCAACACTCTCATAGCTGACCTTTTCATTTGCTTTGTGCTGCTTCCTGGCCTTCTGACCTTCCACAGTATAAATGAGGCAGGCTTGGTGGAAACCTGGAACAGCATTTAACTTCCCTCAGAACTAGGCTTTAAACCAGACTTCAGTGTCAGGTTTTCTTCCTCCTCTTTCTCAAATCCTGAGCAGACGAGAGATCTTCCTTTGGGGTACCGAGCACAGCACTTGCGCAGTTCTTGGATGACAGCCTGACACTTGGATTCCTTGTAGTTGTTGGCTTGTAAACACTTCTGTCTCTTGCAGGCTTGTTTCTTGCATGGATCTTTTTGCGACATATTTAAAAAAAAAAAAAGACTATAATGTTTCTTGGCTTAATTACTCCACCTGGAGTATAGGTAGGCTACAACTTTTAGGCCACCCTGTGTGATGGCAGTGGTGATGTGAGCCCAGGGTGAGCTGAGGGACGTCTGGGCCAATGTCTCTAGAGCTGAAGTCAGCAGAGGCCAGCAGCCAAGGGTCCAGGGAGAGTCGTACAAAGTTCAGGGGCTGTGACTTGGAAATAAAACAAAATAAAACTTTAATTATTTTAGGAATGGGTTTCAAAAGAATGTCTCCCTGGCACAAAGGTGAGTGTTGGGGAGTGTTTCCTCACCACTGTCCCCTTGGCTTTTTGGCTTTTAGGGCCCCAGTGTGGACCTAGCACTCAGGAGGTATGTGACAGACCACATGTGCCCAAACCTGGGAATGCCTGCACTGTTCTTGAAGACAACTAACCACCACTGATTTTTCAGAGAAACAGTTTTAGTGATTTAAAGTGGGGGGAATAGTGTGCTTAGATTTAAAAAGCTGGATTGACTGAGAGCAACGTCCTCTGTTCCCTCCACGCACATGAACATCCTAGGTAAAATATAGCAGAAGAATTTGGAATTGTGAAGGAAGAGAAAACAAGAAAGTCAAGGCACTGAGGGAGAGGTTGAAGCTTACTACATTGTTATCAGAATCTGGGGAGATAGCAATCACTTGGTGAGGCTTACAGTGGTTGTAGAGCAGAAGTCAGCCTAGTGTGTAGGTGACAGTCTTTTCCTCCCATTAGACTGAGGAAGCTGTGAAAACTTACTTTTACCAGGAGTGTGAAGGAGTGGAAATTGGAACTCTAAATCCAGTTTGTTGTGGGGTTGAATTCACAGTGTCCTCATAATGCTGGGAACCAAAACTGAATCTATCAGTTTATAATACCAGTGATACGTTGGCAAAGAGAAACTTGAAACTGTACTACAGACCAGAGCACATAGCATTCCCATAAGAAATACTCCCAGTGAAGATGAGCTCTTAAAGGTACAAAGCGCCATGAAGCCCAGGCAGCCCTGTTTACTAGAAATGGTGGTTCCCGAGAGACTTTAAAACAAAACCATTTAAAGTGTAAAGGAAAACTTAGAAATCACACGTTGGCTTGTTGCAACATCATATAATAATCCTAAGCCCAGTAGCCAAAGCAACTATTTTGTTATTATTTTGGAGGGACTGGCATTTGAACTCAGGGCTTCACACTCACAAAGCAGGTACTCTACCCCTTGAACTACACCTCCAGTCCATGTGCTTATTATTAAGTTATTAATAATAGTTAATATCAACTAGTTATTTAGTTATTTATATAGTTATATATTATTATGACTAGTTATAAATATTAATAATATTATTATTAACTAGTTATTTAGTTATTTTGGAGATGGGGTCTTGAGAACTATTTGCCCATTCTTAGAAATGTTAGAAATTTCAAGTTTGGAAACTAAAAACCACATTCCTGAACAGTTCACAAAAAGTCATGGTAGAAATTTAGAGAGGGAAATTTATAGTCTGAAGTGCATTTGTAAAAGCAAAAGAAGTGTTATAATATATTAGCATTATTGAAGAAGTTAGGGTAAATTAAAAAGAAAGTAAAGAAGAGCAGAAATAAAATAGAGATGATAAAACAAATGACTGATTCTTGGGAAAAACTAATAAACAGTTTTTATATTAATAAACATCTAGAAGACTGCTTGGAATTTAAAAAGGCAGGTGTGGTGGTGCATGTCTGTAATCCTAGCACTCTGGAGGCAGTCAGGAGGGTTGCAAATTTGAGGTTAGCCTGGACTACATGGCAAGATCCCATCTCAAAAAATAAGCCAAAGAGCCAGGTACCTGTCGTTCATACATGTAACCCTAGCTACTCAGGAAGCAGAGATCAGGAGGATCATGGTTCAAAGCCAGGCGTGGGCAAATAGTTTGAGAGACCCTATTTCAAAAATAGCCAACACAAAACAGAGCTGATAGAGTGGCTCAAGTGGTAGAGCACCTGCCTGGCAAGGGTGAGGCCCTGAGTTCAAACCTCAGTACCCACAAAGGAAAAAAAAAAAGCCAGAGAAAATATTAGCAACAAAAGAAAGTAGATAATTTTGAGGATAAAAAAAAAATCTCAGGAATAGCAAGAAAAAAACCTTATAAAATGACTTTGAAGTTAATTGCACATTTCTTGAAAAATAGATATTACCAAGACTTACTCAACAAGAAAGAAAATGTTAATAAACCAATAATTATAGAAGCAATTTACTCTACAAAAGAGGTACATGATGGACCAGATGGAATGTGTGAACCTTGCTTGGATTCTAATTCTAACAGACCAATATTGCAAAACAAAACAAAATGAAAGTTCACGAAGTAGTTGGAACACTGGTGAGATGATACTAAGGAATTCTGTTTCAGGGGTATGATGGTTCTCTTTTTTCAGGAAAAGTATATGCTAAAGTAATTGCAGTTAAATGACACAACATTTTAGTTTTGCCTCAAAATAATTAAATGTGGTAGAAAGTGTATTGGAATTGGGTAAAGACTGCACTGTTGATAGCCAGTTGCCATATGTGTCTATTTCAATTTAAATGATTTAAATCAGATCATTTCAGTTCCTTAGTCATACTAGCCCTGTTTTCACATCAGCCACATTTCAGGTCCTCAGTAGTAGCATGTGGCTAGTATCTGTTATATTAGGGCAGATACAGAAAATGCCTATCATGCAGAGGTTCTGTTGGATAGAGCAGGTATAGATTAAACGTGACTGGCCACATGGTGACAATTATCAAAGCTGACTGGAGGGGTTCGTTTTATTTCTCTCTACATTTGTATGCATTTTACAGTTTCTATGAAGAAACAACAGCAAAAAAAAAAAAACAAAACCAAAAACCCAAAAGTGATCTTCATGAAGAAAATGAACAAAGATCCGAAAGACTTGAAGCACTTTCATGAATGGAGGGGCTCCATATAATATCAATTCTCCCCAAGTTTATCTGCAAATTCAGTTCTCATCAAAATCCCAGTAGGGTAAAACAATCCTGAAGGAATGTTGGTGGTAGTTTGCTGTCAAAGCTTGTTAAAAACTATAGTAATTATGAAAGACATTTCATAATGACGCAGAGACATGGCATCATTGATATAGCATTGGACAGAATTGTCCAGAAATAGATCCTATCATAAAGTAGACCTTGGTGGATGGAGGAGTTATTCTTAAAGTGCAAATTTGGTCTAGTAATAAATGGTATTGGGACAGTTGACTTTAAGAGTATGATGACTTGATTTTGGACATTCTTGGTTTTAGATGTCTGTGGTACTTAAAAAAAGTAGAGATGTTCATTAAATATATGAGTCTGATACTTAGCAGAGATATCTGGGTTAATCATGGAGATCTGAGAATCATAAGCTTACAGGTAAAGCTTTGTGGTAAAGATTGAAATCATTTAGCTAGTGTAGCATGAGAATAAACAGGACCATAGGTGGAACCCCTGGAACCACTGGAATACTAATATATTAAGTGCTGAGTGGAGACTACCTGCAGAGGCAGTCCAAAGTCCAGTGAGGGTAGGAGCTCTGCTGAAGTATTCATTTCTCAGATTCCTGTCCCTGACAGGTGATAGGTGCTCAATAATAAATGTTGAGCAAATAATGGGAAAGGGTAATCACAGATATGAAAACAAGGCTAGAAGACAGGGTGTCAGTAGAAGCTAGAGGAGAGAAGTAATCCTAAAGGATATATTTATGTTTTCCTGTTGACTGCTCTCCTGGTGGTATCAGGGTTGAAGGAAGCAGTGCATATGTTTGCTTTGTATTTTTAGTGCAGTTTTCATGGAGCAACTGATATACAAAGCTGTGCACAAACTTTGCTTTGGTTTTGTGAACACCTTCTTCTTTTGATCATTTTGCCATTATTGGAGTCTCATAGTTAAGTGGCAGCAAACCCCGTAAGTAAGAGTTTAGAAACATGACATTAGTTCTGTGGCCTTCACAAATTACCTGAATGGGATAGCTTCGTCACCAGCTGATGGGATGGAATCACAAGAAACAGTTTCAAAGCTGTTGGTTTTGAATTATCTCTAACAGCTCTTCTTACTTACTCACACCAAGAAATTTCACCCCAACCCCTGTCAAGCTACTACATGTTTTCAGTATGTTGAGCCAAAGGACCATTTTTCACATGAGTCCTTCAAGGCATCTTCCTTCACTAGCAAAGTGAAAAAGAACAAAGCCTTGGTCTTCAAAGATCTCAGATGATTCTAGAATACTGAGTTGTTATAGAAACAATTGCATCACAATTAGAGTACCTTTTCTTAGTGGATAAGTTATTTGATAAGTTATCAACAGTTTCTTGATAGGATGCCAGCATTTAAATTTCAAAGATTTTAAACAAATGTCAGGTACTCTCTTGAAGGAACTGGAGAAAAGTTAAACACTTGTATGTTTTCTAAATGTATCCTCCATTCAAAAATTCTTTTCTTTTCTGGAGGGCCCTCAGTAATCAGGAATAAATATGATTATATATGCATATGTATTTTTTGGCAGCACTGGGGTTTGAACTTAGGGCCTTACTCCTGCTAGACAGAAGCTCTACAACTTGAATTGCTCCACTCACCCTTTTGAGATAAGGTCTTACTTTATCTCCAGGCTATCTTGGGCTGTGTTTCTCTTATTTGTGTTTCCCACTATATCTGAACTGACAGCTTTACATCACCACATCCAGCCATTGGTTGAAATGGGGTCTCCTGAACTTTTTGCCTGGGCTGGCCTCAAATGTGATCCTTTTCATCTCTGCCTTCTGTATAGCTAGGAGTACAGGTGTGAGCCACTGTGCTTGTATCATAAGTGCATATGTATTTTTTAAGCATTTTAAAAATCTAAATACCTGTATTGATATTCTGATCAATAATCTGTATTTTCCTGGTTTCCTGTTAATCATTATTCACAACTAGGCACGACTTGAAAAAGAATAATCGAAATACCTGCAAAATTTATGCTCATATCTGTTAAGTTTTTAAGGGAGAATTTTTTTTTTTTAATCAAAAAGCATTTTCTTAGTGTTAAAATCTTTCATGGGCAATCTACTGTGATGATAACATGTTCTTATAGTTGAAAGAACAGTTTTTAATTAGATGCTAAGTTAAATTTGTTACAATTGTACCTACACAGAATGTCCCTCGGTGCTTACTGTGTCATCTATTGCAAAAGAATAGGAACCTCTACTTCTCCGCCAAAAAGTCACACATACTGGAGAGATATCCGTAAGTACAGTTTGAACAACAAAGTTTTCTTATAGAAACAGTGAAGAATTGTGGTTACATTTGTAGGGTGGACCACAAAAACTAATAACCCATGATAAGTCTCTGATTTATGTCTTTTAGTACTAATAGTTCACCCTAAATTTGTAAGCCTAAAGCCATACATGATCTTTTTTCTTGGGAATTCTTTTTCTTCTCCTATTTTTCCTGTCAAATTCATAGTTATTCTTCTAAACTTAAATATCACTGCATTCTCATTCAGCAGATAATGTTTAAGCTCTTGCAAAACAAGGTGCTACCGGACCCCTGTACTAAGTTCTGGGAATACAGTGGTGAGCAAGGAGACCATTGTCCTTGTCCTGTTGAGCTTGTGATTTGCTCTGGTTCTACCCTCACAGTATCCATGAGCTCTTCCAAAAAGCTTCCCTGGCATCCTAAGCCAGTTTAGATCTGTCACTTGTTATTGGTAGAGTTTGTATAGAACATGGTTAATTATCTGATTTCTTCCATTGACTGTAAACTCTGTGAGGGCAGTGTCTTATTTATTATTATCTGTGACATACAGAAGATGTTTAAATAGTATTTGTTGAGTGGAAGAATGAAATAACTTGCCTACAATGAGCACTAATTTTTTTTATTAGTAAAATAAGAGAAGTGGAACTGGGTGCCAGTGGCTCATGCCTGTAATCCTAGCTACATGGGAGGCTCATATTGAGAGGATTGTGGTCCAAAGCCAGTTGAGGCAAGTGGTTCAGGAGACCCCATCTTCAAAATAGCTAGAGCAAAATGAAGTGGAAGTGTGACTCAAGCAGTAGAGTGCCTGCTTTGCAGGTGCAAAGCCCTGAGTTCAAACCCCAGTCTAGCTAAATTAGTCTAGCACGTCTTTCATTCATTTGACAATAAACATTTACTGGCCACCTGCCATGTGCCAGGCCCATGGCTACAATGTTCCCAGCCCCATGGCTACAATGTTGAATAAAACAAAGTCCCTGTCCTGTGAACCTTCTTCCTGATTTTTTAAAATTTAAGTTAAAATATTTAGAAAACTGTTCCTTACGTATATAATAAAAAATAATTACGCAAATTCTGAAAGCATGATATAAATAGCCACAATTCATTCAAGTTCTTCACTTTTTGATTTTTAAGATAGGTCAGATTTTAGATCTTTTGTCTAGAAAATTCTGGTTATTTTCAATATAAAAGAGAAGAGGGGACAGAAAAGGGTGGTTTCTTCTCTTCTAGTACATCAAACTTAAAAATAATTAATTTATTGAGGGTAGGAGAAAAGTCTGTGAGGCTGTATTCTGTTCCATGTGCCCAGTAAAAAGGAGACATTCTCTAACAGAGACGGCCCACACCTGTAATCCTAGCTACTTGGGGACAGAGATCAGAAGGATTGCAATTCAAGGCCAGCCCAGGGGAAGAAGTTTCTGAGATCCCATCTCAGCTAGTAAAGCTGGGTGTGCCTAATATCCCACTTACGTAGGAAGCATAAATAGGAGGATGGAGTCCAGATTGGCCTAGACATAAACACAGACCCTATCTCAAAAATAACCAAAGCAAAAAGGGATGGGGACATGGCTTAAGTGATAAGAGTGCCTGCCCAGCAAGCACAAGGCCCTGAGTTTAAATCCTAGTATCACCAAATGCTCATTATAAGCACTTTCCTAACATGCGCAGACCCTGGGTTCTATTCCCAGCACTGAAAAATACCTATCTATATGGAGGGAGGGAGGGAAGGAAAAAGAGAGAGAGAGAGAGAGAGAGAGAGAGATTGTAGTAAGAAGCAACAATTGGCAACAGTGGTTCATGATGATGGGCAGGAAGTCAGGGAGGCCATCTGGGAATGAGAACTGTCCTAGAGGAGTTGCATAGTCTAGAAGCAACTTTTGGTCTCATCTCCACAAACCTCCTAAAACTGTCTTCTTCCCTACTCTGGAACCACCATGAGGATCCTAGAGTTCATGAGGAATGTCCATTGCCTGATGCATAAGAAGTCAGTGAAGGAGAGTTCCTTACCCCTCAGTAGAGAGGACAGATGTCTTCTTGGCAGCCTAAACGGACAATCTGAACAAAGGCTACCTTTATACATCCCATAAATTGTAAGTCATGTAGATTTTTGTGGGCTGGCCTCCATATCTGACCATCATGGGTAATACACTAGTTAAATTTGTGTTCAGGAAATGCAACAGAAACTCGATTACAGTGGCTTAAGTTAGCAAGGTTTTCATTTTTCGTACATAACAAGAATTCAAGATTCAGAAAATTTAGTGCAGGAATTGTGTCTTACCAATCTTCCTGTATTCTTGCCATTATCTTTTCCTCATGGTCACAAGATGGTTGCTGAATCCCTAGGCATCAAGAAGGCAGAAGCCCCATCTTATGAGGCTCTGTCTTTTTATTTGGGGAGGGATTGATCCTTCGCATAGATTTACACTGATACCTGATTGTGTAGCACAGCCAGCATAGCTACCAAGTAACCTAGGAATTTGAGTATTTTTGAATAGGTGTTGTGTATTGAATAGGTAACTAACAGTCTACCAGTAGGATTTTTTCAGCACTGGGGTTTGAACTCAGGACCTCACGCTTCCTGGGCAGGCATGCTACCACTTGAACCACTCCACCAGCCCAAAATTTTTTAATGTTACAAATTATTTTCCAAGTTCCAAAAAAAAGTATAAATTTATATTTATAATATAAATATGGGACTTAACCAGCAATTATAACATGCTTACTTTAGAAAATATCATTTTGTGTCCCCATTCAATAAATATGATCCCTCAGTATAGTCCTATTATGATTGGGATAACTCTCCCCATTCCTTTATTTAATTGTTCACTAAGAGGAGTCAGAGGGAAGCGAGCTTCCTGGAGGCTGCTTTCCATGGATGGCTATGGGCCTGGTACTCTCAGTAGTGGAACAGGGACTAGGGTCCCTAGTGATTTGGTGGGGGATGGTAGAATAGGAGGTCAAGAAAGAGGAGAATGAGTGTGAAAAGCTATAAATATAAATTATATTTTTACACTTAGTGCTTACTGGTTGGTTGGTTTATATTTTGGGGCTAAGAAACCATGTATTGATAGTAACTGATTATGTTAATAGAAAAATTTCAATACTTGTCCAATTATATATGAAATAGATTTACACTGTTGCCTATTTCCTGCCACACTGTTAGAAATGACATTCATCACATTTTTTCCTTTTCTTTTTGAAGGAAATATAATAAAATTTACTGGATCTCTTATTTTAGGGTAAGTGTCTCCTGTAAAATTTTGTGGTTCTGGGGTTTGAACTTAGGGCCTCATGCTTGCAGAGCAGGCACTGTACTGCTTGAGTCACACCGCCAGCCCTCCTGCAAAATACTAATTGGCTCCATTATATTACTAGTCTAAGTCTCAATGGAAGGGAACTTACACGTAGCATGATCACAATAATTTAATCACTGGTTCTACTACTTTATGTTATCTTAATCCATTTTACTCTGCTTTCTTCTCTTGGGTTTGAGTGTGCACCGGGGATTCCACACACCTGGCCCTATCTGGTGCTGTGAAGAGACACACATATAGTGGGCATTTGGTCAGCCTTCACACACTTAAAATCACATTGTGTGTTAGATCTTGAAGTGGGGGAAAAGACTCAAAATCAACGTGGTCAAAATTGTTTTTGAAAAGCTCTTAAACATTATGAAGCTCTCTTAAAAGAAATTGAGGCTGAGAAAACCAACAGATTGCGGCTGCCATCAAAGACACTTGCTCAGTGACTGCAGTGACCCTCTCTCTTTCTAATAACTTATTTTTCATTCGCTTTTCCTTTTAGGGTAAGGGATAAATATGTTAAATGCATATGTAATACTATTTTATTTGCTAATACTTTGTTTCACTAGCACAAATACAAAATTGGCTAATGATAAAGAAGATATATTTGGCATTTTATCTAAATCCCTACATTCCTTCATGACATTGTAATGTAAAGCAAAACATATTTAGGTGATTTTTCCCGTTGACTCATTCTGGGCAAAGGTAAATGTATACCCTTTTGTCCGCTGCAGCAATTTTTTTGTTTTGATCACATATTCAGGAATATAGTGAAAATTAATCACAACTTTAGTAAAGGACTTTGTCTTTCCTGGAAAACATGGTGAAGGTACAGAAGACCTTTGTTGTTCTTTACTGGTTAGGTAGGTGCTTGAGCGAGCAGAGGATTCTTTAACACCTACTCTGTATTCCTCTGGTGTGGCCCGGGTTTGTCCTTTCTGCCTCACCTGTTTGCTTTAGGGCAGAAACCACAGGTGTAGGATAACTGAGGTTGCTGAGTTTTGAGTCCAGGTGGAATGTAGTCTCTGTGTCTAGATTAAGGGGTGCAGGTCAATCTGAACAGGAAAAAAAGTCTACATTTGAGGTATATGGGAAACAACTTTGTATCTCATATTAAAACAAATTTAGGTTTACCTCTTAGAAAAGGAGAAACTTATATGCTGTTGATGTGAGTATAAAGTGACTAATCTTATTGAAAAAAGTTTGATATTACATAGTAAAGTTGAACAATATATGGCATGTCAAAAAGTAAGTAATTCTGCTCTAGATAAGCACTCTAGAGGAACATACGCACATGTGCACAATACAGATGTGTGAGATGTGTAATAGTTTGCGGTAGATTCAAACTAGAATGTCCTAAATGTCCGTCTGCAGTAGAGTCGATAAATGGGCTGTGGGTGAATTGCTTAACAAATCAAAATAAAAATGCAGGAACTACATTTACATACAACAACTTGGATGGGTCACACAAACATAAAACTGAGCAAAAGGATACATCTAGCTGGGTGCCGGTGGCTCATGCCTGTAATCCTAGCTACTCAGGAGGCAGAGATCATGAGGATTAAAGCTAGCCCAGGCATAGTTCCATGAGACCCTATCTCAAAAAAACCCTTCACAAAAATAGGACTGGTGGAGTGACTCAAGGTGAAGGCCCTGAGTTCAAGCCCCAGTACTGCAAAAAAAAAAAAAAGATACATTTAGTTGAATTGCATTCAAATGAAATTCAGAAACAGGCAGGACTAAGCACTGTTGTTTAAGGATGTACATATAGGTGGTAAAACTAAGGCAAGAACATTAGTATAATAATTCCAGTTAGAGCTGAGAGAATGAATCAGGATCAGGGAGGAACACACTGTGGGCTTCTGGGGTACTGTTAATATTCTGTTTCTTGCCTGAATATGGTTATGATGCAGCTATTTGCTGTTATTTTAAACTAAGAAATGTATATATATATGTATGTATATATATATATGTATATATATATATATATGTATATATATTACGTGTATACACGCGTACTAAGAAATATATACGTATGTGTGTATATGTGTGTATATATACACACATATACATAAACACATATACGTATGTGTGTATATGTGTGTATATATACACACATATACATAAACACACACACATAAAGTGTCATGTTCCCATTACTGCGTGTTAGGTTTCCCAACAGGAAAGAAACCAGTTCACTGTGAAAAGCTCTTGTCTCACATTTAGATCCTATATTTATGATATTTATGATGGATTTTTTTTTTTGTTTCTTTTTAAGGGGTTCTGTATTTCTTACATACGAAGTTCTGGCCCTGAAGAAGTCTTTGACATTAGATACTGAAGTGGTAGAAAGAGAAAAAATGAAGTCATATATATATGTGCGCACCATTTCTTCAGACAAAGGAGAAAATTATGGTAAGATTATTGTAAAGTAATCTTGTATTTCTAAAAATGGATGTTAGTTATTGAGTTTAAAAATGAATCTATTTAAAACACAGTATTAATGAGATAGAGCCAGCTAACTCAGAGAATCACCAAACCCTGTGAGAACCAAGTTCCTAAAGCGTCAATTGAAGACTAAATTTTGACTTGTGTATTTTACCCAAGTTTGTAATTCTCCCAGGATAAAGTTAAGTGAGGACTAGCCGGTTGCTTGAGTCTGAACCTGGAGTTTGCGCTTCTGTGTGGGCTGTCAGTTCAGTTTGGCAAGTACAAAAACATTTTGTCATTTAGCTCAGAGATACTTTTGCTTCAAGGGACTTACTCATGCAAACAAGCTCATGAGATGCACTCATAAACACGAATACCAGTTCATTTATTACTACGTCCTGTCACAAAGGCCAAAAAGTGTATCCATTTCGAATGTCACCCTGATGGGTATTGAGGTTGCACACAGGCCTCTTGGTTGCTCGGTGAACGTGCAGTTTTAGAGCAGGGGAGAATATTTTCATCAGCTGTGGGTAGCTGAGTCCTGCTCTTGACTGCAGCTGCCTGTTCCTATGGTGTGTGCTGCATGTGCTCCTGCATGTGTAGGAGCCCTGCAAGGGGCAGGCTGCACTGCTCTGACCTGAGCTGTTTCCATGCTTGTCTTGTTTGTATTGACAACTACCCTGTATTTCTGCGTGCCCTTATGGTGCATTTATGATTTTAATTACATGGATTACTCTTACATCTTTTAATTTACGTATTTAGTGAGGCTTAGTCTCATTACTGCAGGATCTCCAAATTTTAATTTTAGGCGAGCTATTTAAAAGAACATTTTTCTGAATATTGCTGTTCTTAAGTTACTCATGAGGATTTTTGCTGTTGTTTTTTCTTTTTTGGTGCTGGGGATAGAACCAAGGGCCTCACACTTGTTAGGCAGGCGCTCTACCACTGAGCTACATCCCAGACCTACTCATGAGGATTTTTGATAGCATTAGTTAGTGTTCTTGTTTTTATTTCTTCCTTAGCTTGGAGAGTCATCTTATTTTGGAGACTAGAGCTCTATGTTTTAGTTGTATTTGATGGTGATAATAAAAAGGCAGATACCTGATTTTATTTGTTTGTTGTCAGTACTGGGGTTTGTACTTAGCATTGCAGTTGCTAGGCAAGTCCTCTACCATTTGAACATGCCTCCAGCCCAACCCTTTTTTTTTTGCTTTAGTTTTTTTTTTTTGCAGTACTGGGCTTGAATGTGGCCTCACACTTGCTAGGCAGGCATTCTGTCACTTGAGCCCCTCTGCCAGCCCCTTCTTTTTGTGTGTGTTGGGTATTTTTGGGATAGGGTCTCATACTTTTTTCTCCCCAGGCTGGCTGCTGTTCATGATCCTTCTCCCTCTCCCTCCCAAGTAGCTGGGATTAGAGAGTGTGCCTCCATTCCTGGCTTGGTTTTTGAGATAGGGTCTTATTAAACTTTTGCCTGGGCTGACCTCAAACTGTTCCTTCTGTCTTTTCTTCCTGAGTAGCTGGGGTCACATATTTTATAGTTTCTGTGAGAAAATTTGGAGCTTAGTTTGTGCATTTCTTTTTGAAGTATTGGCAAATACTTAAGATTGCATGTTTAGAAGAAGAGAAAAACCCTCAAAACAAAAACTAGTAAATACTTGGTTTTATTAAAAATTGTCATCATTTTAGGGATTGCATGGCAGGCAAGAAAAGAACTTCACAAAGCAGTGAGGAAAGTACTGGCAGCGTCAGCCCAGGTATTCCGGAATCCATTTGCTGGTAAGTATCATACACTTAACTTGAGTCCTCATCAGTAGTCTGAGAGTTATTTAAATGACCAACCTAGGACTTTAAAAGAAATTCTTATACTAATATTGTTAATGTCTGTGGGAAATAATAAGTAATATTATTCTCTTAGGCTATATTTAATTTTAAGGGCTTAATGCTTTGGACATTTTTCTTTCATCTTTGTTAAATATTGTAAATGAATATTGAGGTTACAATATATTCTATTCTCTTGATGAGTGCTCCAGAACTTAAAATTTATTAGAAAATCACTCTCAGGCTTTCTCATAATGAGAATATTGCATCAAAAATGTAAACTTTGCAATTAGGTGAATCTACATGTGGAGTTGGGTATAAGAAAGCTGACCTGACCTCTTTAAAAAGTTGATATCTGAAGAATAGGTAGGAAAGCTTTCTAGAATGAGAGAGACTAAAGAGAGTTTATTAAATCCTCGTTTTAAAACGTTGCTAAAGATATGTCTCGGAAAAACTTGAATATGGAGTTAGACTGAATTTTAGATAATTTTGGAAGATTTTTGTTAATGTTCCTGGGTGTGATACACTGCAAGTATGTGAGAGAATGCTGGCTCATTCTTAGAGATGCAACTTGAACCATGAAGGGGTTCCTTTCAGATGGCTTATATACATACATGCATGTGGATAAAGCAGATACGGAATGACCATTATCGAATCTAGATGTGATGGGCATATGATTTTAATATATCATTCTTTCAATTCTTCATATATTTATTTCAAAGCAAAATGATTTTTAGGGAGAAAGAGAAAAAAAGGACCCCATAGTGAAAGACATCATAGTACATAAAAGAGCACATAAGCATAACACTCATAGTGAATATGAAGAAATAATATGACATAGCTGAGATCACATTATCAGTCATCAGTACCTGTATATGGACTTCATTCTATTGTAGTTTCCAAATATTTGTAAACTGCCATCTGAAGTAAAAGTGAGGATAAAAATGCTGTTTTAACTGTTCAGTTGTCTTGTTTTTTATGTGTTTGTCTTTTTGTTTGTGCAAAGACACGTTTAGTACAGTTGACATAGAGGATTACGAATGTGCTGTGTGGCTGCTCCTGAGGAAGAGCCAGGCAGATGACAGAGCCGCTCGACTGGAGGCTGTGCAGGAAATGTCAGAGACCCACCACTGGCATGGTAATGAGGCCAGCGAACTGGGTACACCATTAGCTAGCTCTTGATTTCTGATATAAAAAGAGAAGGGAATGAGACTAAGGAAGGAAGACAATTCAGGCAGTCTTAATACATAAAAAACATATGTTCAGAAGTTTGAGAAGATTGAGATGTGTTTGGTAAGAGCAACCTCAAAACTGAGGTGTGTATACATTCATGTGACTTTCTACCCGAACATAATTTTGTTTGATTATGTGTTTCCTTGAGAGAGAGTCTTCATTCTAGCATTTTCTTTTGGTTCATATTTAATGAAATATAGTTGATTGCTTATATGATTATATTTGCTTTCACTTTGATAAAATCTACTTGGCTTTAATACTAATAATTAGCTAAATATACCAGATTTGTGTGAGTGTATATATAAATGTTTTTGAAGGAATATTTTAAAATATTTAATTTTATTTAAAAATAATAAGCTTTGCAGTGAAGGTACATGAATAAGAGGTGAAATCTCCAATTTTAATACTTAGACTAAACTATAACTTATTAGTAGAGTCCTCATCTTGTAAAATTAATTGGTAGAGTCAGGGGGTATACCTTAGTGGTAGAGCACTTGCCTAGCATGTGCAAGGCTCTAGGTTTGATCCCCACAACTGAAAAGCAAAAAGGTCAGCATTAGAAAAGAAAATTAAGTCTCAGAATAGGAGACAAATTAAGTCATTGATTTGTTGGTTGTGATATTGTAATAACTTACAATATAATTATAAGCTAACTTGTAGTTAGTGGAGACTTAAAAATATATTTTTCAAAATCTGCCTTCCAGGACTCCATTGCAGACTTAGTGTGCTCACTAAATCAGGGGAGGAGACTTGGCATGTCGATTTCGAAAAGTTCCCCTCCTAATCTTGAGGTACTTAACCTAGGTTATGAGCTGCCATTATTGAAAGGAATATCTGCTTCAGTGGTTGGAATTTAGTTTTTGATACATAATGATGACATGTTTAAATCAGATTGATACCATCTGGAACCTCATACTAAACATTCATGGCCAACACAGGTGCCAAAGCATGATACCATCTCCAGCAGACAGTAGACTTCAACGCAGCCTCCAGTTTTTGAGTAGTGATCAAAAGTTAAGTTGATTTTACCATTTTTCACATTTGAGCTTCAATTTTTTTCAAAAAGTTTCTCAGACCATGACCTGGTCCCCAGGTAAATATGGAAAGTTGTGGGATTGGTGGTAGAACTGTCATCAGGTACTGAGTTTAAAGGTGTAAATGCAATGTAGTTGTGAGAGAATACATAGAAATTTTGAATTACAAACTTGTAGCTCCCAGGTGGTTTGTCTATTTAATCCTTGTGACAACTATAAAGTAAATGTAACGTTAACAAAAAATATACTTTTACAACAGATTATCAGTATAGAATAATTGCTCAAGCTTGTGACCCAAGAACTCTTATTGGTTTGGCACGAAGCAAAGAGAGTGATCTTCGCTTTTTTCTTCCTCCACCTCCGTTGCCATCTTTAAAGGAAGTAAGTAAATAAAATAATCCAGAGAGTGAAAAATTGTTTGATGTATTATCTTTACTTTGGGTATAATTTTCAAATAGTAGTTATTAGCTAACTTTCACAAGCACATAAATTAGGCTGTAAAAGTGCCATCTTAGTTTTCACATGTAGTGATTTGATTCCTCAGGAGAGTCTATTCCTCTGATATTTTCTGCCTGTGGGGTTTGGGAGTCTCGCTGCAGAGTAACTTCATAGTTTACCGACATCTATGAGTTGATCCCTTGTTTTAAGTTTGCTACCTCAACACTTTTTTGTGTGTGGATTTTTTTTGTTGTTTGGTTGGTTGGTTTTGGGTTTTTTTTGGCTGCACTGTGGTTTGAGCTCAGAGTCTCACATTTGACTAGGCAGGCGCTCTTACTGCTTAAACCACTATTTTTGGTGATAGGTCTTTTTGAGATAGGATCTCACAAACTATTTGCCCAGAACTGGCTTTGAACCATGATCTCCCTGATCTCTGCATCCTGAGTAGCTAGGATTACAGGTGTGAGCCACCAGCACCCAGCTAGACCAGTTATCTTAGAGTAGAAAATGAAACTCCTAAAACTTGTGCAACCGGTTGATTTTTGAAAAATAGAAGAATGAATTTTTTATCAGGGAAAATGAGATAGTAACAAGTTCTGGATTTAAAAGACAGCTTTAGTTAGAAATTCATTTGGAGTCAAGATGTCAAGAAGCCTATGATGTGAAAATTGAGAGTTGATAATTTACAACAGGTCTTCTCATGCAGTAGCAGACATGAGTGGAGAGATCTGAAAAATAAATGATTCTTTACCTTGGGGGTGACTGTTTTCAGGATTGAAAGCACTAATGTATCTCTGTGTGTATGCACACACACGCGCACACACACACCCCCGTATATGTGAGTGCATGTCTGTATTTCGGCTTTGATTCTTTGGATGTTTTTACTCAGTTGAGTTTGTGTCTGAAGATTTTCTTTTCCTTTTATTTCAGGATTCTTCCATTGAAGAGGAGCTCAGAAAGTTGCTGGCTTCTTTACCTCAAACAGATTTAGATGAGTGTATCCAGTATTTTACATCCTTGGCTCTTAATGAAAGCAGTCAGAGCCTGGCTGCTCAGAAGGTTTGCTTATTTATTCATTCAGTAACTAGTTTGAGTGCTTACTCTTTTCAAGATATTGTACCAGGGGCTAGCACTTAGAGCTGTAGTCATTCACCCAGTTACTGAGTAAACATTCTGACTTGTGATTGTGTTCTATGCACTGGGCGAGGTGTCAGGGATAAGAGGGAGACATGTAATAAGCATCCACAGAAGTGTGTAAGAGAGGTACAGTTTACTTCAAGAGTCCTTACGGCTTCCTAGGAGGGAACCCTTAAATTACATCTTTTTTTTAATCTTTATTTTTTAGTTATTTTTCACTTAAATTACATCTTAAGGAGTCAATAGATAGGGCTGGGGATGTGTCTTATAGTAGAGTGCTTGCCTAGCATGCTTGAGGCCCTGGGTTCGATCCTCAGCACCACAAAAACAAAAAAAACAAAAGCAAACAAAGAAAGTAATTTGCATAGTTGTTAAGTATCAGCTGTACATCAATGATGTCTGAATTGACATTTCTAGCTCTGAGTTCTAACCTAAGCTCTAGATTTGAATATTCAGCCTTCTACATGGTGTCTCTGCTTGGATGTATGGGAGGAGCCTTAACTTAGCATGTTGAACCTGCCTTCACTCTGCAGAATTCTTCTTTGGTCTTTTCATCTCAGTGATTGGGAGAGCATCCACCTTGTTGCTTAAGCCAAACACTAGAAAAACTTCTCGATTCCTTTCTTGCATGTCCAACTAATCAGCAACTCCTGGCATTTGTCTCCCCATGTTACTCCAACCACCTGCTTCTGGCCAGTGTCACTTCTCCATGGTGTTCTGGTCTTTAATCTTGGCTTCTGTTCTTTCTTTTACTTCCTAAATAATTTCCAAATCTCTTTCAGAATCTTGTACTGGTTTACTTCTTATGAGCCAGTTTGTGCTCCCCCTTATGGTAGTTAGTGGTTTCTTTACCTGGGTGTACCTTTTGACTGCAAGTTTAACTTTGGCTGAACTGATTATTTTCTAGGGGAGTCCCAAGAACCATGGATTATAGATTTGTCCCTACAGAACGATGTTTCTGTTGCTTCTCCTGGATATCCTGGGAGATTCATTGTTTGGGACTAGATCTTCACATTCATTTCTTAATTTGGGACTGCTGTGGCACTGAGGTAGTGTAAATTCATATACATATGTAGATGGCCTGGCCTTAACATTGTGATTTCCCACCTAAAACCCTGAGCAGAAGTGGGCTTTCTGGTTACTTGCATGGGCTGGTAGGCAGTTTTCCAGACCTTCTTGCAGGGACCTTTCCAGGGCCTCACTTTATGCAGAGATCTCAAATTCAGCTCCCGTAGAGTGAGACACAAGATGGCACTTCCTGCCCTGGCACTGGATGCCCGTTCAAGTCCTGCATTCAGGGGCTCGTTAGCACTTTCCATCTGCATCCTGGCTCTATGTGCTGTTTCCAATTCTAGCTCCAAGGATTCCTTTTGATTTCTTTCTTTCTTTAGAGATTGCCTAAGTTTAAAAGTTTATTATATTTTATCAAACATTCCTATAAGCCTGTGGTGGGAGGACTTTAGTAGAAGCCAAGTTCACCCATTTGCTGGGTCGAGAAGACCTCCTCTTTATGTCCCCATCACCCTTCAGCTAGACCATGTGGCAAAGTCCTTACCTGCTTCTGCAGTTCCTTTTCCTCATGTAAAGCCAGAGTAGTCTTATAAAAAACACTGGCGAGATTAACGCCTTCCAAAGACTTCCTGTTACTTGTTAAACCTAAGCCTTTTCCATTTTGTGCTGGAATCATGCTCAGGTACTGGTCTGCCAGTGTGACTGCCCCCAAGGACGGAACTGAGGTTGGCGGGAGGTTGCCAGTAGGCAGTTGCAGGATATAAAGTTGTTTAGTGACAAAGGGTGTGAAAAGCAAAGGAGAACCTAACTTGGATCAGGAGAATACAGCTGAGCTGTAGGTCCAGTCTCATCAGAGTTGACACATGCTAACCAGGGACATCAACTGCTGCTGTCCCCACACTCTGGAGTGCAGTGGCTCTCAGACATGAAAAGTTATTCTGATACAGATTTTCACTTCTCTCCCACCCCTTGAGTCTCCTGCTCCTCCTGCTTTAGCTGTGGGCCCACTCAACTGGATTTGTAATGGTCTAAAACTTCCTGACACATACCTGAGGACATCTTCCAAGTGAATCAAGGGACTGTGTTATAGGCGTGCCATCCTAAGTAGCTTCCCACTTCAGGCCCACCTATGGCTGTTACCAAATTCCAGTCTTGTGCTGTATCTTAGCAGATTTTCTATCTTTATAAAATCTTCATTGAATCTCTAAGAGAAATTAAATACCCACCACTAGGAGAGCTGTGCAGAAAGGGAAAAGTGTTTTATTAGTAAAACAAATAATAATGCTCTGTATTCTTTTGCCAGTACAATGACATCTTTTTCTCATTCCATTTATAAGAAACTAGGGACACACCAGTAGATAGGATTTTCTAGTGTGCATTATGTAATGTCCCCTGTTGGGCTGTGTTTTGGAATCACTCCAATGAATTTTGATCATTGTTTCCTTTCTGATGCTCAGAATGCCATTGCCTGTCCCTTTCTTTGGATTGACCTCCTTTTATACTTCCACTCCTAAGAACCACTTGGTTTTCTTTTTTCTTCTTTTTTTTGGGGGGCAGTGATACTGGGGTTTCAACTCGGGCTCTACGGCTTGAACCATGCCTCCAGTCCATTTTATTCTTGTTATTTTGGAGTTGGAGTCTCACAAATTTTTACCCAGGCTGGCCTTGAACCATGATCCTCCCAATCTCAGTCTCCTAAGTAACTAGGATTACAAGGTGAGCCACTGGTACCACGTCCCACCTTGGTTTTCTGATAGTTTTTTCTTTTTTTTTTTAAATTTATTTTTGATGGTACTGGGGTTTGAACTCAGGGATTCATGCTTGCAAAGTAGATGCTCTACCACTTGAGTAACTCTGCCAGCCCTAGTTTTCTGATAGTAAGATGTCCTTGATTCTTCCTTACTCTGCCCGCTCACATGAATTGACTGTTCCTCCAAAGAGATCTGGTTTTTCCTAGTGAAATAGTGTTAGAGTGCAAAAGTCAGGCACCATGAACACATATTTTCTATATCAAGGTAGAGCAGGTGGACCTTGGTGTACTTAGACTTCTAAGTAACAGAACAGAACAACTACCTTTTCTCTTAAAAGGCTTTAAGTTCATGATGACATTTTCAATTCAATTAGTTTGAATTCAAATTCAACAGGGTCTCCCAACTGCTGCTGTCACCACACTCTGACTTGCAGTGAATTGAACTTTGATCTAATTGAATAGATTAGATAGATACTAATTCACATAAATAAAAATTACCCTTTATTTTTTGTTTATTTTTGCCAGTACTAGGGATTAAACTCAGGGACTGGCACTAGGCACTACCACATGAGCCATAATCCAGTCCTTTTGTTTTTAGGTTGTTTTTCAAATAGGGTCTTGAAGTTTTGCCTGGACTGACCTCCAACTGTGATTCTCCTGTCTCTGTTTCCTGAGTAGCTGGAACCATGGAGTGCACCACCATGCCCAGAAAAATTATCCTTTTAAAGTATACGATCCATTGGATTTTACTGATACTCTGAGTATGCAGTCATCACCATTCAATTCCAGAGCATTATTACCACCCCAAAAAGAAACCCTGTGACCACCAACAGTCACTATCCATTTCCCCTTCCCCTTCCCCTCATCCCCGGCTGTTCCTCCTCTCTGGATTTGTTTATTCTGGGCATTTCATACAAGTGGGATCATCCAATACGAGACCTTTTGTGTCTGACTGCTTTCACTTAGCATAACTTTTCAAGGTTCATCAACATCGTAGATTATTTCATTTCATGTCCAAATCATTTCCCATTGTATGATTGTACAACATTTACCCGTTCATCAGTTAATGGATGTTTGCGTTGTTTCTACTTTTTGGCTACTGTGAATAATGCTTCTAGGAACATTCCTGATTAGGAAAAAAATAAACTGTACTTGTTAGAAATATCTTTAAGATATTGGGGTGTCACAAGAGAGAAGACACTACTCAGAAGTCAGTAGGCAAAGCAAAATTTACTTCTGCAGAAGGGTGCACACCGGGAAGTCTGGGAGGCAAGCATACTGGGTGGGAAGTCTGCAGGGGTTTTATCTGATGCCATGCTGTCCCACCCCTGGATTGGGCAGGTTTTGGGCTCACTGTCTACATGGTTGGCTAATTAGAAAGGGGCCGGGTTAGGAGGGGCTTTGGGAACAAAGAAGTTTAAAAGTTTAGGGAAGTTATAACTGTTTTTGGTTATTAGCTCTGGAACCAGGGCACCAAGCAGAATTCTTTCTCCAGACCAGCTGAGGATAACAACCCTTTGTTCTTAATAGAGACTTTTATCCTATTAAGCTGATTCCGTGAAGCAAGCCTATGGGAAACGAATTTATAAGGCGGTTATTGCTGATTCAATTCTTTGACAGAAAGACCTGACCTAAGCTGATTCTTACAGTACTGAAAGAGATAGGAGTTTTCCTATTCTTACATACCACTTAACACTACTGACACCAGATGTGTGGAGAGTTTTCTCCACACACCATACAGTTCTCTAGCAGACATCAGCTGAGTATCTCCTCGTTCGACTCAGTTCTGACACTGCCTGGGAATAGTGTCAGGCTCATGGGTTAAGGAGTCTGTCCCCAAGACTTCCCCTGCTTCAGACACCAGTTTCCATTCCGGGGTTGTTGCCTGTGCTTCTGATTGCCCAGAAATCAAGGGTTCCCCTAACTCTTCCTTTAGAACTGCTTAATTTGCTAGATGGCTCACAGAGCACATGCTTACCAATTTATCATAAAGGATATGACAAAGGATGCAGATGAACAGCTTGATGAAAGAGATGCAGAGGCCAAGTCTGTGGAGTTCCATGTCTTCTCCCACAACCCTCTGGAATCTCCATGTGTTCACAGTCTAGAGGCTCTCCAAACCCTGTCCTTGGGGTTTTTGTGGGGACTGGTTACATCACTGGCCACTGGCCAGCCTTCAGCCCCTCTTCCCTCCCTGCAGGTTGAAGGGTAGAGCTAAAAGTCCCAATATGCTAATCCTTCCTGGTCTTTTTGATGCCAGTCCCTCTCCTGAAGCTATCTAGGGGCCATGCTATTTATAGACAGGGTTCTTCAGTGTCTTTCTGACCTGTCCCCTCCCACTTTCCCTCATGCTTACTGTGGTCCTGCCTTGCTGGCCTTTTTTCTCCCATTTCTGGCACTTGCTAAGTGTGTATCAACTTACGTTCCTCTGCTTGGAGCTCTGTGTCTCCAGCTTGCCATGTGTCTGCTCCTTCTCATCCTTAGGTCTAGGATCTGCTGGGATCTTCTCAGGGAAACCCTTGTCTTTATCTCAAATGTTCATTACAATGGTAACCCTTCATAGCACGGATTCCATTCTGTAATTATTTTTATTTTTATTTTTTGTTTTGTGGTACTGGGGCTTGAACTCAGGGCCTTACACTTGCTAGGCAGGTGCTGTACCACTTGAACCACTCTATCAGCCCCCATTCTGTGATTTTTGTGTTCTTATTTATTTAGTTAGTTTTCTCTTTTTTCCAGTAGCCTGCAACCTCCTCGGTACCTAGTACTTCATACATAAGATTTCTGAAGTAAATATTTATCACCAGGTTGTGATGATAATTCTTTTCTTTTTTTCCTTCCTGGTGCTAGAGATCAAACTCAGAGCCTTGGACATGCTAGGGTGTGGTAATAAATCTTAAAAAATTTCCCATCCCCGAAAGTCTACCAACCCACTCTCTATGGCATTATCTCTGCTAGTTAAGAGAATGACTTTCAAAGAATTAGTTCCTTCACAATTTTCAATTTAGATAGTGTGAATCTTTAAGATCCAAGCATGTAATCTTGGAAAAAACAAAGTACTGTATTGAGAAGAATGCATGATTAAAAATTGTAGGATGGCCCAAATGTACTTCAAACATTTAGTTTGTTTACTCAACCATGGGCCCTATGAGCTAATTCAAAATGCAGAACTTTATAGGTTTTATTTCCTATGGAAGACAGTGAACTTTCTGTATGCATGTTTTTTTGGCAGTACTGGGTTTGAATTCAGGGCTCTATGCTTGCTAGACAGGTGCTGTACCACTTGAGCCACTCTGCCAGCCCTATATGCATTTTTTTTTTAAAAGATACTACCTTGTAGCTGCTACCAGGTGGTCTGTATGCACACATGACTCCTAGTTCACTTCAAAAGGAGATGCAGTAGTGAGTGTTCCTTCCAACCCTTCCATCTCTCCTACCCCAAAACACACACATATACACACACACACACACATGTGCTGCACACTCTTATGACAAATGATAGCTCTTTAAATGAACTGTTTTGTGCCTTCTCACTTCTTGGAAGTTTGTGTATGTGAACATATGAAGAAATTAATACTTTATAGCTGCACTACTTTGTACAACTGTGCCATATATATTTAACTGACCCCCGTGGATGGACTTTAATTTTCAACCTTTTGTTCTTCTAAACAGTGCTGCAGTGAGTAAATTTGTAGATCTCTCAATTTCTGTCCCTTTCTGCTGTGTTTCTTGGTAGGATAAGTTTTTAAAGGACATAGGCACTTGTAATTTTGATGGCTACTGCCCAGTTGTCCTCCATAGGAGTTGCACCATTGATGTTACCAGCAGCAGGTGATAAGATTTCCTCTTTCCCCAGAACCTCACTCATCTGATACATGAAAACTGTTTCTCTGTAGTTTGAATTTACATACCTCATGTTTTAGAGGCATTACATTTATTTCCCTATAAACTTTCTGTTTATGACTGCTACTCATATTTCCACAGCAGTGTTGCTATGTCTCACATGGGTTTGTAGGAAGGAGGTGACTGTATATAAGGATATTAGGACATTACCCCTTGATGTATTGTAAGAGTTGAAATTTTTCCCCATCTTATTCTCCCTAATGTTTTAATAATATCTATTAGAAATATTCCCCACTACTCTTCTGTTTATAGTTTTCCTAACTATTCTTGTTTGTGAACTATTCTTTCATATAACCTTGAATTTCAACTTGGGAAGAATTCAGTGCAATGCTCTGTCATCATGTCTTTATTCTTAAATTGTGCAGTGGTGTTTTTTTTCTTTTTAAAAGTTTTGGTTTGGGGTTGGGGATTTAGCTCAGTGTAAGAGTGCTTGCCTGGATTTAGCTCAGTGTAAGAGTGCTTGCCTGGCAAGTGCAAGACCCTGAGTTTGTTCCCCAGCACCAAAAAAAAAAGTTCTGCTTCATAGGCTTTCAGTAAATTCTGTTAGCATCATCTGGAAAATTACATACTATGTGAATTGCTAGGTGCTGAAAGAGATGACATGAGAACTTGATCAACTGGTGAAGTATTGGTAGTCTTCAGACTTTCTTTTTTTAAAAATAAATTTTTATTAGAATATGTTCATGATACAGGAAGGTTTCATAATGATAATTCCAATTAGACTTACATTGTACACTAGTTACATTGCCCCCACCATCTCTCCCTTTCAGCCCCCTCCCCACCCCACTTAAAGCATTGCAAGAGGTTTTCTAGCTCTGTTGTATATAGGTATATGAAATCCATCTACCATATACCATCTCCTTAATCTCCTTCCTTCACCCTCCCCCCTCCCACTAGTACTCCCTCCACACACACACTGTGACTATTTTAAAGTGCTGGTTTTCATTATAATATTTGAGTTGATGTTCAAAGGGGTGTCTCAGTGTATGCCCTCTGTGGGTGTGCTTTACTTTGGTCTGTTCAGTCCCTTCGAATACTCTCCCTTACCCCTTTACCTCCCACCACCCCATTTTTCAACATCTTTCAGTACACATCCTTATATCCTCTACCTTCACATCTTGTGGTATGCAATATTACTGTTGCTGTATCATTCTCTTTTCCCTTCCCTCTTTCCCTGAGTTCCATAGAGTAGTTCCACTGTTACAAACATGTTCTACAACTGAGTTTGTATATGATCATGTTTGTTGTTGTGTATGTTTATCTTTGGATCTGTCTTTCTTATATGAGAGAAAACATATGTCTTTTGTATTTCTGACCTTGGCTAACTTCACTTAACATGATGTCCTCCAATTGCATCCATTTACTTCAAACCCCATGTCATTATTCCTTGTGGCCTAAAACTTTGAAACAACTCCAAGAAGGAGTAGGAAACACACTAGAAGAGACAGGTATAGGGAATGACTTTCTAAAACAGAACTCAGAAGGCTCGTCATCTAAGAGAAATAATGAACAGATGGGACTGCATCAGACTAAAGAGCTGCACAGCAAAAGAAACAATCACCAGACTCAAGAGACAGCCCACAGTGTGGGAGAAAAATCTTTGCTAGCTATTCATCCGATAAGAATCTAATATCCAGAATCTACAGGGAACTCAAAAAATTTAGCTCCCAAAGAATCAATATCCTAATGAAGAAATGGGCACATGAATTAAGCATGGAATTAAAGGAAGAGGTACAAATGGCCAGTAATACATGAAGAAGTATTCAACTTCCCTGGTTATAAAAGAGATGCAAACTATGCTTAGTTTTCATCTCACCCTGTTAGGATGACCATAATCAAGAGCAATCACAGTAACAGTTGCTGGTGAGGATGTGGCAAAACAGGAATTCTTATTCAGTGCTGGTGGGAATGCAAATAGTATAACCATTATGGGAAGGATTATGGAGAGTCTTCAAAAAACTAGTGATAGCAACAAGGGGATTGGACTATGAGCACATGATAAAAGCGAGAGCACACAAGGGAGGGGTGAGGATAGGTAAGACACCTAAAAAACTAGCTAGCATTTGTTGCCCTTAATGCAGAGAAACTAAAGCAGATACCTTAAAGCAACTGAGGCCAATAGGAAAAGGGGACCAGGAACTAGAGAAAAGGTGAGATCAAAAAGAATTAACCTAGAAGGTAACACCCACGCACAGGAAATCAATGTGAGTCAATGCCCTGTATAGCTATCCTTATCTCAACCAGCAAAACCCCTTGTTCCTTCCTATTATTGCTTATACTCTCTCTACAACAAAATTAGAAATAAGGGCAAAATAGTTTCTGCTGGGTATTGAGGGGGGTGAGCGGGAGGGGGCGGAGTGGGTGGTAAGGGAGGGGGTGGGGGCAGGGGGGAGAAATGAACCAAGCCTTGTATGCACATATGAATAATAAAAGAAAAATGAAAAAACAAACAAACAAACAAAAAAAAAAAACTAGTGATAGAACTGCCAAATGACCCAGTAGTACTGCTTCTGGGCATCTACCCAAAAGAACGTGAAATAGGATGCAATAGAGACATCTGTACACTGATGTCCATTGCAGCACTATTTACAACAGCCAAGCTCTGGAAATGACCCAGATGCCCTACAGCTGACGAATGGATCATGAAATTATGGTATATATACACAGTGGAATATTACTCAGCCACAAGTCTTCAGATTTCCTGATGAGAAGACACAGAGGAAAGATTGAGAAAAGCACTCTTGCTGGGAGTAATCCTATGTGCTCTACTCATAAGCAGCAGAAATTTCCAAAGTATTTTGAGTCTCTTATGTATTAGAATTTTCTGCTACTGTGTATAGTACAAAAACTAGTCACTTTTCAGTAAACAATTTACTTATCTTAATTGCAGGGTGGCTTATGGTGTTTTGGAGGAAATGGACTTCCTTATGCTGAAAGTTTTGGAGAAGTTCCTTCAGCTACAGTGGAAATGTTCAGTTTAGAAGCTATAGTGAAACATTCACAGGTAACTTACATTCCCAAACTGTGGTTTACTTTTTATGATTACATTGGAAAAAATTACAAGTTGACTCGTGCAAGGGAAATAATCCTTTCTTATTAAAAGTAAAAAAACCCGTCTTGTTATTTTTAAATTCTGTGTTTCCCATTATAATTGCTAGAATTAATAATCATAACTTAGCACCAACATGAGTTTCATTTTTACTAAATGTTTCTAAGAGTTTTAAATCACAACCCACTGTCTAAATTTGAATTTGTCTTTGTATTATGTTGCCTTCTAATGCCTTTCTCAGATCTTGGTTTTGTTTGTTTTATTTGGTGGTACTGGGGATTGAACTCAAGGCCTTACCCTCTCCTACTTGAGCAACACCCCTAGTTCTATTGTTTTTAGTTTATTTTTCAAATATTCCTGTCTCAACCTCCCAAGTGTCTGGGATTACAGATACGTACCACTGTGCCTGGTTCTCAGATCAGTTTTGCATATCATCAGATAGTTAATTTCTATGAAAACATCTGTCAAAGATACAGAAGATAGAAAAAGAAGGGAAATATTAGAGGACAAGACTTAAATATCAGTGATTTTTAAGCTTTTTGGTATTATGGAAACTTTTCTGTCATGATCATAGTTTAAAACAGAATAAAGCAACAGGCCTTGTGGTACTCAAACATAAAGCATAAACATCACCATCCTAGGAAGCATGTTAAACATTTCCTGTTTGCCTCTGGCAGATTTAATTTAGGGCTCTGGAATGGGGTCTTGGAAATTTGCCTTTAGGGCTGGCATCCCTGGTGAGGTTGGTGCAGGTGGTCCACCCCTTGTCACAGAAATACCATCCTAGAGATGATGACATTAAACATGACTTAAAACATGGTATTGCCTAATCATCTTTCATTCCTACCTGCAGAATGAAACTGAGCAGGAAAAAGAGTAAACACAGCACTGTAGTACAGGAGCAGATGTGGGAACCCAGCTGAGTGTGAGTCCTGAGTGGTGCCTGAAGCAGTGGGCACCACTGTAGCAGAAAGCAGAGTGTTGTGTGTGTGTGTGTGTCGGTGGTGGGGGGGGGGTGTTACAGCTGTCTTTCTAGAAATCTCTCAGGTTATCACAGATCTCATTTGGTAGATATCTAAAAGGCATACTTTTTCAGTGCATTTAATGTGGGATAAAACTAAAAATACTTACTGGTAGAGTACCTGGCTAGCGAGCACAGGTCCTGAGTTCAAACCCCAGTACCACCCCCCCTAAAATTAAAAACATTTAGAAAATGAATTGTTGTGTATTTGTAGCATGGTGTCATATTAGTGAGTAAAACTAGTGATGGGAGAGGCAAAGCTGTGCCTAGTGACATGTCAGATGACTATAAGAACTTGGTCAATTCTGTTACTTCCCTAAGTACACACAGTTCATTTGGTCTTCTTTTTCTTTGATTTATTTCTTTCCACTAAAAATTCAAGTTCCACTGGGCGCCGGTGGCTCACGCCTGTAATCCTAACTACTCAGGAGGCAGAGATCAGGAGGATTTCAGTTTGAAGCCAGCCCAGGCAAATAGTTCTCGAGACCCTATCCTAAAAAACCCTTCACAAAAAAGGGCTGGTGGAGTGGCTCAAGGTGAAGGCCCTGAGTTCAAACCCAGCACACACACACACACACACACACACACACACAATTAAAGTTCCTTTTTCTTTATTTTTATTTGCTCTTTGTCTCTTTCTCTCTCTCTCTCTTTTCTGTGCTAGGGATTTAACCCATGCAAGGCAAGCTCTTTACCACTGAGTTATATCCCCAGCCCTAATACTTCTCTTTTGAGACATGTTTTCAACTTCTGAGTGTTAGTTGAGCCCTGTACTGTGGGCACTGAGGAGTAGGGCAGGTAGGGCTGCAAACATCACCTGCCTGATCATTGTGAGGCTTTGTTTATAGAAGCAAAATCTACCTGCTTGCGTAGAGGACCATTTCCTGTAGCAGATCTGTCAAAGTTAGAGAACCATTTTAAGGTAATTTCAAGCCAAAATAACACTATAAATTGGAGCAATTTTGTAATAATGACATTGTCAGGTACATCCCACCAAGTACAAATAACTTGAAGAAAAAAATTTTTAGAAAGTCTGATGAGATGTGCCTCTTGGGACTTTTGTCAGTGGTTTTGAAGTACTTCCCACCTAAGTAGGGTTTGCTTACATATGTCACTCTGCTGAGGAGAGTTTTGAAGTTGCTCTGCGTGTGTGCCCTTGAGTAGAAGCCACCTGGCTGTCCCTGTCAGCATGCTGTGTCTTGTGTAGAGAGCTGTGCGCCACAACACGAGCCTTCATTCATTTGTTGTGCTAGATACCTGCACACTGTGATCGAATTGAAGCAAATGGAGGCCTACAGCTCCTTCAGAGGCTGTACCAACTTCACAAGGACTGCCCTAAGGTGCAGAGGAATATAATGCGCATCGTCGGAAATATGGCTTTGAGTGAGCGTCTTCATCCCGCTCTCATCCGTTCAGGTAACTGCTCCTGACACGCTCACTTTTTAGTAGACTTAAGATTATTATGGGTCCTTAGAGCATGTTATTTTGGTAGCGGCAAGGCATTGCTTGAGATTGTAGATACTCCACACTAAATCAACATGTGGATGATCACAGAAGAGCACGTTTTGCCATGGTGACCATCTAATTGTATAATTGCTGATGCCAGGAGACATAGACCAAAAGGAGGTTCACTGTGTAACTATTTTCTTCTGGCAACTCATACACCATTTGAGGGAGGTACTTATGTCCCTCCCTCCCTCCCTTTTTTCGATTCTTCCTTCTACTTCCCTCCCTCCCTTCCTCTCTGTCAGTGTGGGCACATGGATCACCATTTTCAGTGCTTTTGTAATTCATTGCTGTGCTTAGTAGTCTGATGCAAAATCATCTCAGCTGTGGCATGGAAGCCTCAGCAAGCTGACCCTAAGTCTTGTGACAGCCCATGTCATTTCAGAGGGGCATTTCTGTTTTCTTGTTAATTTTTATAAATCCTTTATTGAGTACATTTAGAGACACAGCAGTTTCAGATTTACCATGCAATAGAGAAGGAGTTATCAAATTGAATAAATGAAAGTTTCAGCTTGGGCAAATACATTAATATGGCAAATGAAACCTACACTTGTGTCACAAGTATGCACTTGGTAGGAATGGTTTTTCTAAGCAGGTGAACGTATTGTGGCTTTCATGGTCATTAAATTACAGGAATCTTGAATCACTTCACTTAATGTGTTGTAGCAACACCACATTACTTCAGCTCACTTTTACTTCTGATGGGCATCTGTGTTAGGTTGGGTGATACCCCCGGAGGGCTGTTTGTTCCTTTCTGGTATATTAAGGTGTTTCAGGCTCCTTTCTCTGAGGAATCTATTTCCTTTTAAGCGGAGAATGATACAGGTGCCAGTGGTATTTGTGACTCCTGGCCTTTCTTTCCTTTTTGGCTTTTTATGCTGTAGACACACACATACATTAAGTTCATAGATATGTGCACATGTGCCTGCATGTATTCATTCATATACATATGTAAGAAGCTGTGACTTTACACTTAAGAGCAGAGATTTTAATTTGTATGAAGTCTTATTCAGGGATCAGCAACCTAATAAAGGACCAAGTGGAAAACATAGTAGCCTTTGAGAATTAAATACGGCTTCTGCTGCATATTCTTCCATGTTTTTATACAACTCTTTACAAATATAAAAGCTACTATTTATTATTTCCTTCCTTATACTTATTGTGAGCTTTTCTTGGTGTACTGGAATTTGAACTCAGAGCCTGGAGCTTGCTAGGCAGGCACTCTACCATTTGAGCTATGCCCCCAGGCCTTTTTAAAATTAGCATGTAATACTTGTACAGGGCTGCATTGCAGTATTTACATATGTGTCCTTTTTACTTTAGTTATTTTTCCAATGGGGTCTTACCATTTTTGCCCAGGCCAACCTCCTATTTATGCTCCAGTGTAACTGGGATGGCAGGTGTGTGCCACTCTCCTACCTTATTGGTTAAGATGGGCTCTCACTGGCTTTTTGCCCTAACTGGACTTGAACTGTTTGTTCCTTTTTTATAGCTTTTTTTTCCCCCATACTGGTGTTTGAACTCAGAACTTTGTACTTGCTAGGCAGGCATTTTATGGCTTTTTGCTTTTAAAGTTATTTTTTGGATAGGGTCTGCCCTTCTGCATAGCTGGGGTGTGCACTACCAATTCCTGGCTTATTGATTGAGATGGGGGTCCTCACTAATTTTTTTCTCCAAGCTGTCCTTGAACTGTGATCCTTCTCAACTGTGCCTTTGTATACCTGGAATTACAACTGTGAGTCACCATGATCAGCTCTCTTTTTATAAGTTCTTAAGGTAAAAATTTACATGACTGATTTTAACCCTTTTTCTTGTTTCAATCATCTGTTGCTGTGTTTCAGTACATCCTAGAACTCTGTGATAAAGCACTGTCATTTGTTTTGTTTTTTCATGAATCTGAAATTTGGGCCAAGTTCTATAGGAAAGGTGTATATCTGCCCTTGTAGCATTGGCTGTGGGTACTGGGCAGACATGGAGGCTGCTAACTCACATGACTGGGAGTTGATGGAGCTGGGCTGGGACAGCTCCACCTGGCAGCCTGGACACTGGCTTCTTCCCACATGACCTTGAAGCATGATGGGTCCAGAAAGCAAATGTTCCAAGAGAAGAGGTCAGGTGTAAATTTTTCTTTCATAACCCATCCTTGGAAGTAACTTCTACCCTCATCTATTGATAGAAGTTAATACTTGGAGGAGATTCAGACCCCTCATTTCTTTCTTTCTTTTTGCAGTACTTGGGCTGAACTCAGGGCCTCATGCTTGCTAGGCAGGTGCTGTACCACTGGAGCCACTCTCTAGTTAAAGATTTATTAGGATGCCATTGAAAGGAGGTAGAGTGACAGACGGTTGTGCAAAGGAGTATAGCACCAAGACTGGGGTTTGAGCTCAGGCACTCTACCACTCAAGCAATACTCAGCCCTTTTTGTTTTCAGATAGGGTCTAGTATTTCTTCCTGGGACCAGCCTCAGTCCACAATCCTCCTACCTACAGCCTCCCGTGTAGCTGAGATCACAGCATGTTCTGCCACACCTGGCTGATTAAGATGATGTCTTGCTAACTTTTTGCCTTGGTTGGCCTTAAACCTCCATCCTTCTGATCTCAGCATTCTGAGTAGCTGGGATTACTGGGGTTAGCCATTGTGCCTGGCCTGTCATTTCTTGATAGGAATAGTGTCAACGATTTTGAAGACATGCTTTGAAATGACTACAAATATTTTCTCATGTTGACATTTAAAGTTATGAATCTCCCTCCAACTTTGCTTGTAGATTTTTATTGTTCATTCTGAAATATTTTCTAATTTCCCTTTTTATTTCTTCTTTGCTTCACGTGTGTGTAATTAAAAGTATTGAGGGTTTTCTAGCAATCAGAGAGCACAGTGTAAGGTTTCAGTGTTTGGAAACCATCAAGGCTTATTTGAGAACCAGTCTGTTTTATTCCTCGGCTGTTGAGGGGCGTGTCTTCAAGATCTGTGCTGGTGGTCGTCTGGTTCTCAGTTACTCACAGGTGTGCCAAATCTTCAGCTATGATTGTGGATGGATGTGTTTGTTTCTCCCTTTGGTTCTATCAGATTTTTCTTCCTGGTGAATTGTTCATTTTTTCCCCCATGGTTGCATTTTTTTAAAAAACTTTTAATTGACAAATAAAAATTACCTATGTTTATGCGGTACAGCACGTTGTTGTAAAATACATATTCAGTGTGGAGTGGCTAAGTCAAGCTAATTAACTTGTATTGCAACTGGAACAGTGTGGCTTATGCCTGTAATCCCAGCTACTTGGAAGGCAAAAATTGGGAGGATCTTGGTTCAAGGCTGTCTCGGACAAAAAGTTCAAGAGATCCCCATCTCAATCAATAAAAGTGTCGTGGTGATGCTGGGATTCACAGGCATGTGCCTCTGGGCCAGGTTCTTAATAGATTTTGAAGAGGAATTTTCTGACATAAATTTGAATATTGTTTGATGAGGTCTGAAACTTCTTTTGGCTTTTCATTTTTTGGTCTTTTTTTTTTTTTTTTGGTGGCACTGGGGATTGAACTCAAGGCCTCACACTTGCTAGGCAGGTACCTTTACCACCTGAGACATTCCACCAGCCCTTTCTTTTGGCTTTTGAAATGCTGGCCTCCCAGCATCACACTGATTTCACCACTTCTTTCATAAAGAGTGGGGGGAAAACACAGGAGTAGCTGTCAGCTATAGAATGCCTGCAGCAGGGGTCACATACATAAATGAGTTAAGCCTCCTCCAGCTCTGAGTTGCCAGATAACTTGACTAAGGTTCTGTAGTATATGAGTGGGGAACAGAAATTTGAGCCCGTCTGTGACCCCAGGCCCTTGTTCTGCCTTATTTTACATTACATATACTATGCAAACAGATAAGCAACAAATGTTAAACTTCCCCTTTTAACAGATCCTCTTCCACTCCTGAGAGGGAGTGTGGTTCCTGTTGGTGAGTTTGGTGCTCTGTAGCTTTCTAGGCCTTTATGTGCTCTTGTGCACATGGGTGGCTGTGTGCATCTTCACACGTATTTACGGAGTCATAGTTCACACAGTTTTGTCCATGCCTTGTCTGTTTGCTGCTTTTAAAAAATAGTTTTTCCCTAGCAAGCACGAGGCCCTGAGTTCAGACCCTAGTCCAGCCAAAAAAAGTAATATTAAAAAAGTTTTTCCTTTCTGAGTTCTAGGTTTAGTAAAACTATTGTGTATAAAACCCATTCTTTAAGAAATGTTTCCTTAATTGTATTAAAAGATGCTAATGTGATTGACAATCAGGATAAAGTAATTAGTGTTAAACCCCGGGTTTTATAATTTTGACTTAAAAGCCAGACATCTTAGTTTTTTGTTCTCTTTGATGACCTCACCTCCAGTAATACAATTTATACTAAATTTCCTAAGTAGAGAACATGGCTTTTGCTCCCCTCTTTCCTTCTTTGAGATCTGTCAGGAAGTTGTATTGTATCATAGGACTCCAGCAGAATGAAACTGGAGTGGCTGGCTTCCCCACCCGAGACACACTTGAGACTACCCTTTCTCTGACCTCTCTTTTGAAATCTGAGATGGACTCACATCAGTGTTTAAGAGATCTGTTCTCTTCTCCAGGCTGGGTTTCCATCATGGCTGAAGCCTTGAAATCTCACCACATTATGGAGGCTTCACATGCTGCTAGAACCCTGGCTAATCTGGACCGAGAAACTGTGCAAGAGAAATACCAGGATGGTGTATACGTGCTCCATCCCCAGTACCGAGCCAGGTGAGCAAGCAGAACAGTTGCTTTGTCCTCTTCAGGAACTTAAATCCAGAGGGCTTAACATTGTAATTAACTTCTGCATAGTTTAGAGAAGCCAAATACCTTATAAATACCTTTTATTTTTTAATATTTATTTGTTTATTTTGGAGACACAGTCTTGGTGTATATCTCAGACTAGTTTCCTAAGTGCTATCTTAGCCTCCTGAGGGCTGGAATTATAGGCATGTATCACCATGTCCAGTAAATACCTTTAAATGCTTTATAAATAAGAAACAGTTTGTCCATAGTAAGCTAAGAATTAAAGGTTGCCATGAACACATGAATTTTCAGGGCTATTTTACAAAGGGCTCACCCTCAACAAGGCTGGATTCACCTGTTGTGGCGGAGGGGGGCGGTGTGCCTACCTTTGCAATGCATATCTTTTCAAGGTGCTTTCACTTAGCCCTGAGTTAATAACTGGTTTGGATTGCAGAAGTCGATCTGAATGGAAGGAGATGAGACACTATTGTATGCAGACAAGCAGGTGGGCCTGGCCCTGGCTCAGAGCTCCTGAGACTGTGTATGCTAGATGTCACAGCATGCGTGGGAAGGAATAACTCAGAATAAAGTTGACTCATTGCTGGTCCGCCATTTCTAGTTGTAGCTTGCTAAGGCTGTGAGTACAGAAAGGATTGCAATAAAAAGGTCCCTATTTCTTGGATTTTCATAGGGTAATTAAAAAAAAAAAATCTCTGTAAAAATCTTTTTTAAATTTGAAAAATAGATTGCCTGGTTAATTAATTACAGTTTATTAATAAAATATTGTAATTATTTTGTGAATGTATGTACATGTTTACTGTAAATAGCTTGTAATTGATGTGTTATCTGTAATTTCTAATATGTTATATCCAAAGAAAGAAGGTCACTTCAAAATTTGATTTGCTCTCGTTCTGATAAACATCACTTTCCTTAATTTTGAAATCTCTTTTATGTATAATGACTTTGAAACTTCATCAGCATATTCTTACCTAATTTCTTACATGTTCTCACTGATTTGGGGAATAATCCCACCAGCTTGTTTGCAGGGTAATCTGACAGTGGCACCTGTCACTTGGTCAGTTGCCGAACTCATCACAGTCGATTGTAGTACATTGACCCGGCTAGATATGTTTCTACTTTTTATAGAAAGAACAGTGGGTACACTCTGTGTGTCTTTGCCAAAACTCCTAGGATGCGTTGCAGGCCTGGGTTGTAAAGCTTGCTGTATTAAATTGTGCTGTATGTCACATAACCTGCTACAGCACCATCTGCAGAGAAAGCAGAGTTAGGTTCTTACATAGTAGTAACTCATTTGTTCTGCTTCTTTTTAAACCTCTCTCCCTCTTAGTCAGCCCATTAAAGCCGATGTCCTTTTTATTCATGGCCTTATGGGAGCAGCATTCAAAACTTGGCGCCAGGAGGACAGCGAGAAGGCTCTGATTGAAAATGCTTTGGGGGATGAAGACAGGTACACTACATGTTGGCCCAAGGTAAGGAGCAGCAGCAGTGGCCAGCCCCCTCTGTACACACACTGAAGTGCCATTGCTGTCACAACCTCATTGTGACTTGTTGCCTTGTCTCTTTTTACTGGATTTCCTGTGCAGTTCTTCTTTCCCTTTGGAAACCCATAGCTTATTACATTAACAGCTGGGCTTGTGATCCCATGTTGCGTAATTTCTACTTAGGGTGCAGTCTGTGACTGTAAAAGAATATCCCATAAGTAAAAATAGGGGCAAAAGCGTAATAGTTCTCTTCCATTGAAACATGCTTTAACAAATAATATAACTGCAGTTGTATTCATGATAGCCATAGAGTGCTTGCCTAGCAAGAACAAGGCCTTGAGTTCAAACCCCAGTACCGCAGGGAAAAAAAAAAGAAAAGTAAAAGAAAACAAGACTGGTTTTTACTTTCTGTCTGGTAATGCTGAAGTCTGGAGAATGACTGTTAACCCAAGTTCCCCAGAGACAAACTATGACTGTCATTAGTATATGTGAATTTCTCAGGTCCAGATGGCACCCTCAGGATGTGCAGTCTTTCCTGAGATCATAGGTTTATACTAAATGCTTTTAAAAGCTACATCCATGTAGTCTCTAAAAACAAACCTTGAGTTTGTTACAGCAGATTAAAACAGAAATTTCTCATCACAACTTGATTGGTCTATCATATTTGTAACCAGAGATTAAAAAAATAAAATACTTATTTTTATAGGTACCTTCAAATTTTATTTAAATGCCATCTTTAATTGTCCATTGAAAGAGGTCTTTTTTTGGTGGTGGTAGTGGTGGTGGTACAGTGTTTGAACTCAGGGACTTAGGCTTAGTGAGGCAGGCGCTCTACCACTGAGCCAAATCTCTTGCACTTTTTTGCCAACGCAAAGATAGGGTTTTACTTAATGTCCAGGCCAGCTTTTACTATGACCTTGTGACTTAGCTGGGATGAGAGGCGTGTACCACTACCCCAGCCATTGGTTGAGATGGTCTTTCAAACTTTTTGCCTGGGCTGGCCTTGAACCATGATCCTCTACCTTCCAAGTAGCTAAGATTACAGGCTTGAGCCACCATGCCAGCCTCTTTTCAATTACTAGAAAGTAACTGGGATAGTAGGAATTCATGCATGTTCTTATATACCTTTCATTTTACTTAGACATGGTTAGCAAAAGACTGTCCTGCTCTCCGAATTATCTCTGTGGAGTACGACACCAGCCTCAGTGACTGGAGAGCAAGGTGCCCCATGGAAAGGTAATTTTAGGGGGGATGTTAGACCAGGAGGAAGTGGAAGGGCTCAGGCCATAAGTAGATCCCCTGGGAAGGAAGGTTATTTTTATTGTTTGATGACTTAGGCAGATTTTTTTTTTTCAGTGCTGAGGATTAAACCCAGGGCCTTGTGCATGCTAGGCAAATGCTCCACAACCTCTTTTCTCTTCCTTCTAGAAGGAATTGGCTCTAAACAATAAAATAGCAGAAGGCTAAGATACAGTGTTGATGTTGAACTCCTCTTTCAATAGTGAAAGACCATAGACTCCATGTCAAAGTCTTCATTACTACTGAAAGTAAAAGTGATGTTTTTTTGCATTTGAGTTCACAATCCTACTGGCTAAAGGAAACAAAAGAAAAATATGCTGGGCACTTGTGGCTCCTGTGTCCCTTTTATGTCCCATAGGAAGGAGCACTAGGTTCCTGGGTTACAGGACCTAGATTGTAGCCTGATCCTCCCTTGGACAAGTCATGTATTGTCTGAGAAGCTTTGTCCACAGATGGAAAGAGGTGGTCTTTTCAGGCTTATCAAACTGAGCTCTCTGGACAGATCCCACGTAAGTGCCTGAGAAGGGGGCCAGGGCAAGCAAGCAGGACCCAGGCCCCCTCTGTTTCTACTGGAGTATGTCTGGGGGACCTCTGTTCTGAAGAACTGTAGCTATAGATAAACAATGTGAAAATGCCAGACTGGATGGTTTTGAAGTTCCCTTTTAGTTTGAAAACCACTTATTTTGAACTTTCTGATTTGGATAGTTTTCTAGTATTTCTAAACAAACCAAAATGATGGAAGTTTAAGATTTGTGGCGTAAATACAGGTGGAGCTAAAACTCAGACAACACAACCAAGTCTGCAGGGATACATTTATTTTCAGGCCACAGGATGAGAAGGGACACGCACACCCTGAGTGCTGGGGAAGCTGGGGTGAGACTTAAGTTCGACCTATAAAAATTGCCAGACAAATATAATGCTCAAACAATGCTTGTTTAATATATGAATGGCCTGTTCGGGGTGGGGGGGGGCTTAGGCAGCCCGGTGTGCGTAAGTTTCAGATAGAGAATGAGCAACTTCAGAATCTGAGCAGAAAGAATATTCCTTATTCCAAAGTAGTTTCATAGCATTCATCCAATCAGTAGAAGTTCTTGATATTAAAAGTTAGGAAGCAAGATTTGGGGGACCGATGCCTCCTGTCATGCCTGCTGTTTTCATTTTTGTTCAGAAAGTCCATTGCGTTCAGAAGCAACGAACTTCTTAGCAAGCTCAGAGCTGCTGGTGTTGGGGATAGGCCAGTGATTTGGATATCACATAGCATGGGAGGTAAGGATGGGTTTATTTCACAGAGTGACCATCTGAAGTTCCTGCATCTCAGTTTTACTTACTACAGCCCTTCTGCACCCCCAAGTTACTGTTTGGGCTATGGCTAAGAGTTTTAAAGTTACTGCTCTCCCTCCATGCTGTTTTTCTAGAAGGGGACAACCATTAACAAACCACGCAGGAGGGCTTGGGTTGGTAATCTGATGCTTTTGCTTTTGTGTCGTGGTGATGAAGGGTGTCTACAAGCTGGGCTTAGTTAAATACGCATCCCTGGGTGGCCCCAGGGACTCCCCTTCCTCTTCCCTGAACCCTTCACCATTGCAGATTTCATTGTTGCCTCCTTGCTCACAGCCTCAGCTCCCAGCCACCGTGCACCATGCCTGACTGCTGCACTTCAGGTCCTGGTGCTGCAGCTCCAGCTGCATGCCCTGCCCTCCTTGCCCTCTCCCCAGCCCGGCTTTCAGCTTTCCCCATCCACCTCGCAGACATCCTTTGCCTACCAACCTCAGCTAGGGAGTCTCGTGATGGCTGACCCAGAGCTGGGGCTTTGTGCAAGATAAAGGTGGATGTTGGCCTTCCCGTCCTAAAGATTCGCTGTCACCGTCTCTACGATTTTTCATTACTGGTGCAAGTGGAGGAGAGAAGGTGCCTTTCCCACCCATAGCAGCTGATTTTCCTTGGTGGGACTGTGACTGCACATTAGTACTCTCCTGGCAGGTGGGGACACCAGCTACTGCAGCCCCTTCAGGGCCCGGTCTTTCTCAGCAGGACAGCACACCCTGTGGTAGAAGGTCCACCCTACAAATGAGTTTACCTGTTTGTAGGCTTGTACTATACATTCTCAAGGAGAAGTGTTAACATTTTATTATTTTTAAGGCCCTATTTCTTGTACCGCAAAAAGTTGTTTGAAGATTTCTTAGCATCACTGTGTGTTTCTTGTTTTGCTTATATTTTTTTTAAAGAATACTAGAGGTAAGAAAAGTAGCTTACACACTGTTCTTCTTTCTTCTGTGGCAGGTCTTCTTGTGAAGAAGATGCTGCTGGAAGCCTCTCGGCAGCCAGAGCTGAGCGCTTTGATCAACAACACCAGGGGAATCATTTTCTACAGTGTCCCTCATCACGGCTCACGTCTGGCTGAATACTCAGTTAATGTTCGGTACCTTCTCTTTCCCTCTTTGGAAGTCAAAGAACTCAGCAAGGGTAATCCTTTCTGTTGTGAAGGAAGTTGGGATTGTGTTAATATTAATTGTGTAAGAGGAGGAGGAAAAAAGTTCCTTGAATGTATTATCTTTTTTTTTTTTTGGCAGTACAGGGGTATGAACTTGGGGCCTTGTGCTTTCTAGGCAAGTGATCCACGCCTCCAGCCCTTTTTGCTTTGGTTGTTTTTTGACTAGGGGCTCACATTTGTGTCTGGGCTGGTCTGGACCTCAGTCCTCCTGTTTACGCCTCCTGTGTAACTGAGATGGTAGGCTCACACCACCGTGTCCAGCTTTTATTGTTGAGATTGGTTCTTGTGAACTTTTTGTTGGCTTTGAACCATGATTCTCTTGACCTCTGCCTCCTGAGTAGCTGGGATTAAAGGCATGAGCCACTGTTCCTGGCTTCATTTTTCTTTTTGGGTGGTACTGGGGCTGGCTTCATTTTTTTATTCATATATAATTGTGTTTAGACCGTCTATGGAGAATTTTTGACTTGGGCTTGAGTTTTCATCCACAATCTTCTTTGCATTCTTATTTACTCAAGGATAGCTATAATTTTGATTTTGCCTTGTGTATTTCAAACTAGAACAATTATGCAATGCTTTGCTTTAAGCTTACTTATGCTTTCTTCCATGAATTTGGAAAATCATCAGCCATTAAAATATAAATGAGCTTTGGAGACTTCAGCATATTAATTACCAAGCACTGTATTTGTTTTGATTGATGAGCATTTTCTCTCTGGAACACCTCTAGCCTTAATGTTTGCTCACATTTCCTCTTATTTTGAATCCAGGACCTCATGCATGCTGGGCAAGCTCTCTACCACTGTGCCACAGCCCTTTCAACTTTATTTGGAGAAAGAGTCTTACTAAGTTGCACAGGCTGGCTTTACGATTTTGATCCTCCTGCCTCAGCCTCCTAAGTAGCTGGGATTATAGGTGTTAACCACCATGCCTGGCTCTTTGTTTTGCTTTGTGGAGAGTTTTTCAATGTTTTCTAAGTCTTCTGATGAATTTTACTTTTTGAGACATAACTTTTGTAAATCTTTACAGGGTTAAGCATAATTTGGTACGTGTATACAGTGCGTAATTACAAAATTAAGTCAGTAAGCATTTTCTTCTCTTCAAACAATCACTTTTAAGTGTTGATAACTCCACATTCTTCTAGTCATTTTGAAATATCATTGATTTTTTAAATCAATAGTTGCCCTACTGTGCTATAGAAAAAACAGAATTTCTCCTTTCTGTATTTTGGGGCCCCATATTAAACTTCTGTCTCCACTTCTCCCTGCCTCCCCAGTCTGTAGTGACCACTATTCCAGTCAGCTTCCCAAACTGGATTTCAAGCCTGTAAGGGCTGTGGGATTCTCCTACAGTTGGACTGCTGCTATGCTGCTGTAGCTGGGGTCTTTCCTTCTTACCTTTTCCTGGCATTGTAGGGATCCCCGGGCAAACACAGGTGCCTGGTTAAGTTGCAGGCTGCCCTCCAACTCTCCATGCTATTTAGACTTGCTGTAACTCCACACTCAGTTCCAGAGTCCTCACTGTCCTCTGAACAGTTTTTCCTTTTTTACCCTGGCTCTTCTGTGCTGAATTGCTCGCCTCTATTCAACCACCTCTGGTTTTCCAGTTTAACTTTCTTGAAGGAAGTCAACTTTATTTTCCACAAGTTATTTCTTGTTCTCTGTTTGTTTTTATTCATACCTTTTATTTTATGGCTCCATTATTTTTTGAAGTTCTAAAACACTTAGTGTTTTTTTAAAAGCCTTTTTGCTTCTTCAGTAGGCTCTGTCTCTGAGGTTGTAAGAGTCAGAATCCTAATGTCCTCTTTAAATGGGAAAGAGTAATGCATTTTGTTCTGAGTTGGGGAAACACAATTCATTACAGTCTTATTCTTTATAATTTTTCAGATTGTCCTGCACTTAAAACACTACAGGATGACTTTCTGCAGTTTGCAAAAGAGAAAGACTTCCAGGTGCTGAATTTTGTAGAAACTCAGCCAACCTTTATTGGTAACATGATTAAGCTCCACGTGGTGCCTGTGGAATCGGCAGGTACTGACTCTTGTACACTGACTCTTGTAGCTGGCCAGCGGATGTCTCGTAGTTGGTGTCTGGCACTTAATTGTGAATGTCAGTTTTTACATACGGTTTCTCACTTTCAGGGAAAAGTTTTATGGAGACCTAGAATCCAATGCCATTCTTTTTAGGCATAGATGAAAATTCACTGCAAGGATCCAGCCTTTGCATTATTCCTCTCCTTTTTATTTAATTGATTAGATGACAAAAATGAGTTGGCCAACTCTAAGTTAGGTATTGACATTGACGTCTACTGCATTAAGGTAGGAACACCAAGCTCTTCTCTCAGCTACATTAAAACCAGTGTTTATTTTACAGATTGCTAGCTGCATAGAAAAACCTTTTTAATTGCTAGCTGCATAGAAAAACCTTTTTAAAACCTGCTGATAAATGTGGAAGATATAGGGGAAATATTCAAGCAGGAATTATTTTAAAGAGGGCAAAAAACTAGTGTGAAAATGTGATTTCTTCGTGATCCTGTATTGTAATGTTTTACAGGCTGAGTGTAGGTCCCACACTTACCTCTTTATAACTTCCTCTGTGTATCATGGATAGCACATGCATTCCATTACCTGAAATGCTTTCCCTACTGGCCACTGCCTCAACTTGTCTGTCATCTCTGAGGTTCCTTCCTTTTTGATCACCTCTGAGGCTGACTTAGGTGCTGTCTTGGTAGCTCTCAGCCATAATGAGCTCCTTGTGGCCAGGGACAGTGATCTGGAGTGCCTACCTGATGACTCTTCAGCATACATATATTGAGTTTTGTCCTCATTATACACTAAGTAAAATGGAAAATACTTGGTACTTTATAATGGATCTTAAGGAAACTTTACCTCAAGGTAACAGGCCATGGGTGTGGAGTTTCTATGTACTTACTTAGGAATTCAAAGAGCGGCTAGAACAGCTGCCAGATGTCTTTAAAAAAAAAAAAGAATTTTGGAAATTTTGAAGTAAAATCAAAGTTAGTATCATAACCAGCTGCTTATAGTGTCATAGCCTTGTCATAATTCTATCTGCCCCTTCCACATCACCAGGAAGCTCTTCTTCCTTCCTGTCACCTGCAATCTTTAGTGACTCCTCTTTTCCATCCAGGTGGACTTGTCAGACTAAGCCATCAGAAACCCTTCTAGGTTTCTCAAGCCATCAAGTGATCATGGGGATTTGAGTAATAAACCGAGTCACATGTGAGATATTCCCATTCTTTTCATTAGAAAAGGGAGCTCTTTCTGAAGTCTGTAGTAGAAGCTCTGGGATGATTTAGCAATACCCCTGCAGGTGTAGGAATGTTTCTGCAATGTCAGTGCACACAGGCTTGCCCCGTTAAATTAGGAAGCAGGTCAGAACGTGAGATCCCCTTCTCACAAGATGTGTCATTGTAGCTTAGCTACAGTGGAACTTGAAGTACAGCATCTATTGGGTCCTTTTCATTTTTACTCAGCTTTATTGACATTTCTGTTTTCTTCAGATTTAGGCATTGGAGATCTGATCCCTGTGGATGTCAACCATTTGAACATTTGTAAGCCAAAGAAAAAGGATGCTTTTTTATATCAACGTACTTTGCAATTCATCCGTGAAACTTTAGCCAAAGACCTCAAAAACTGATGTCTTCATTTTCATGTGAATACAGTGCTGCAAGAAACTTGGCGGTCTCTTTTTTTAAGTGCTAAGCAGTCCTGCAAACACTGTCAGTACGGCCTCTGCATGGTCTGGAATCATGGTGCAGATAGCAGAACGTGACGCTCCATTTGCACAATGGAAAGCACACTGGACACAAACTGGCCATCCCGGGAGGAGGGGCTAGGTTGGGTTCATCTAACTTAAACCCCTGAGTGCTGGGTCTGCTGACTAGGAGCACAGCTGCTGTGGCTGGGACGCTTCCAGCTCTTGTAGGATCCCTGGCAGGTTCTAGTGGGAAGGCCACTGGCAACTCCACTTACCATAAAAATGATGCCACAAGAGAACCTAAAGTAGAATGAACTAGAACATAAAAGACTGTTTTGTTGTGGGGATCCATGTGCTGTAACATTTTTAAATGTCAGTTTTATAAAATTTTAGTTTTTAACTTCTGTTTAAATCTCAACACATCATCACTGGCCTTTCATAGCCTTGGTTATGCATGGGTCAGTTGCCTTGTATGTTTCTGTTTCATATTGCTGAGAACAATTTTCTTAAAAAAAATTCTAGCTTATAGTAATTCCAGATCGTATCTGCTGTGCTTATGTTTCCTGATAAGGCTAAAATAGCTAAGCCATTACTGATCAGAGTAAGAAATGAAACTAGTCCAAGTCATTAAATGTACTAACAGTACTTGGTATCAAGGCTCTCAGATTCTCTTTGGCTAAATAAAGGATACCTGTCTTTCTTGCTTTCTTGGAAGTAGTACTAATTGACTAACTCTAGGAAATCATGTTGATGGACCTTTTTTTTTTTTATCTTTTGAATAACAGCATTATCGGTATGTAACTCACCTACCTTAAAATTGACTTTTTTTGTGGTATTGGGGATCAAATCCAGGGCCTCACACATTAGGCAGGCACTCTTACCGCTGAGTTAAATCCCCAGCCCAAAATGTACCTGAAAGTTCATTGGTTTTTAGTATAGTTAGAGTTGCACAACTAGCATAATTTCAGAACAGTTCAGAACATCTAATCTCTCAATGAGCCCCACTCATCAGCAGTCATTTACTGCCTTCTCTGTCCCCTGCCCCGGTACACACTAGTCTACCCTGGATTTGCATACTCTGGAGATTTCAAATAAATGGAATTACCCACCAGGTGGCTTCTTTGCCTTATTTCTCTTAGCATGTTTTCAAGATTCATATACGATAACTGGGTGTGTAAGGAAATAAAATACCACGAATGAGAGAGAACAGAACAGAACCCCATACTCCCACCCGTTCTGCACACGACACACAGGAAACAACAGGTCTGCCAGACATGGTTACAACACCAGTGCTTCCTATGATTTTTGTTTTGAAGAGAAAGTTGGCATTTCTTCAGATACAGGAAACTATTATAATGACTTAGATTATATAAAGTACCAAAAATAAATTCTAGATCAGAAAAATAGTTGAAATTATACTGACAAACCTGAAGAAGTAAGAAAATGTCCAGAATGCAGTATGAGACTAAAGCTGGAAAATATGAATGAGAGTTAGACACAGTAGGTAAAAACAAAGTTGGAAGTTTGTTTAGTGCACTAGAAAGGAAGGAAAAAATGTCCCAGAAATTCAGAAATGATGAAGTTCCAGAACTAACAAAAGGCACCACTGGATGTTAACAAATGTAACGCAGAGCAGAAGCAACCAAATCCACATCTGGATAAAACAGAGGGAAATGATGCAGAGATAAGAGAACCTTTAAAGTAGTGACAGGAAAGGAACAACAGAGCGGCTGCTGGTTTGGGGGTTTGGTTTGTTTTGGTTTTTCTTTGGCAATATGGAACTTGAACCCAGGGTCTCGTGTTTGCTAGCCAAGTGCACAACCGTGTGAACTGCCCAGTCCAGAGCTGCTTTTGTTTAAAGTCATGCATCAATGGAAGAGGAAGACTCCAAGATGACAGGTCAGCGCGTTGAAAGAAAACCAGTCACGGGAGAATTATATGTCCAGAAAATATTAAGATTAAATGTTTTATATAAAGTAAAACAGCTTACTACCAGCAGAACTTCATTAACGGAAATGTTAAAGGTGTTCTTCAGCAGAAGGTAAGTGATCTAGCCAGAGGGACTGAGACCCGAAGAAACAATGAAAAAACAGGTCAACTATATAAATGAACTAAAAGTTGATTTTACAAAGCAGCAATAATGTATCAAGTGGGTATTAATATAGATAAGTAAAGAAATACACAGCAGGTATAGCATGTAAGTTGGGAGGTAAAAATGGAACTACCATGCTCCACGTTTGTTACGTGAATTGAGGAAGGAGGTCTTGATCAACATTACACTGAATTTAATGATCCGTGTGATTTCTAAAAGTATAAAAATCATGGATGATGACTACCAAACTAGGAGAGGAGGAAATGGGAATAAAAATCCAAAAGATACAGAGAAAGCAAAAGCCACAGAAACCAAGAGAGCATAAAATAGCATACTTAACCCCCAGGTACAGCAGTGGTTATGATATGTGTAAACGGGTGACTGCCCCGGTGAGGCAAAGCGGAAGACTGGACACAAAGCCACACCGGCACCAGGGTGCAGGAAGGCTCCAAGTAAAGATGGAGACGTCACGCAGTCACCCACAGCAAGCTCGCATGGCTAGCCAAACAGACGTTAGGGCGAGAAAATAAGGGTCATTTCAGTGCAGTAACAGTCACAGCTCCTCCCTTGCCCTGGTCCCCTTTCGGTCCCTCTCTCCAACTCTTTCCCCTAGTTGTCTTCCGGGGTTCTCTGGCTAGTCTCCCCACTGTTCCTCCCCTGCTTTCCTCAACAGGCCAGTGGATCACAGTGGAGAGCTGGTGGTCAGCGCGAGAACAAGCTGCCGAGACCCTGCTCCTGAAGACTCTGCCAGCTGACGGCGGGAGCCAGGCAGCACTCAGCGCATCCTCAGCCTTGTACCGGGGAGAACCAGGCCCCAGGCTATGGGAGCTGGGCTACACAGACCAAGGGTAAGAGCTGCTACCCTGAGAAAGTGTCCAGTCTGAGGGGAGACAGCCCCTTCTGGGAGCCTGGCCACACCTGTTCTGGAGGACACTGGTCAAGAGCGTCAAGAGCAGCTCCCTTGCAGCCCACCTTAGAATCCAGGAAGGACAGGCTTGGCAGTGTGACGTGAGCTGAAACTACTCCCAGCCAATAGTGACTTTCTCATTGTGACCAGGCTGAAGATTGTAGCAGGGAGGAGGATCAGAAAACAAACAGGCGTGAGTTTGGATAAGGTAGCAGGGGAGGAAGGGATAGCACAGCAGAGAGAAAAAACCTAAGGGATTCAAAGGTGAAGAAGGTCACATAGCACTAGGGGTAGAGAGGCACTAGAGTGAAGTAGCCTATAGAATTGCATGGAACCATATATGGGTTAAACCTTTTTTTAAAAAAAATTTATTGCCTCTGGAACCTGCTTGCAAGGGTACATAAGGTGAGACCCCTTTGTTCTCAGGGCTCAGCCTTTGGACACGAGTCTGCTGGGTCTGTGTTGGCACAACAAACACTGCTTCCTGCTAAACTGCCTCAGTGTCTCAAATCTCCGCTAAAAGCCTCCTGCAACAAGATGACCAACCAGATCACACCCATGACCAGGACTATTGAATAATTATGCATACCTTCCCCTCCCTCCAATTCTTCCTCTATTTAAGCCTAAAGCTCATGTCTGCACCCTGATAATGGGCTGGAATGTATACATTGCCCTTCCCTGTGGTAGGCCTATGCTTCATGATCTTTTTCTGCTGTTCACACACACACATAAAATTATATTTGCTAGAAAGTGTTTTAATTTTTTATGAATGTTGAGCATATCATCTAAAATTATACAATGCAGCCCAGTGCTGGTGGCTCACGCCTTTAATTCTAGCTACTCAGGAGGCAGAGATCAGGATGATCCCGGGCAAATAGTTCACGAGACCCTATCTCAACAATAACCAACACAAAAAAGGGCTGATGTGGCTCAAGTGCTACACTGCCTACCTAGCAAGTGTGAAGCCCTGAGTTCAAACTCCAGTGCCACAAAAAAAAAAAATTACACAATGTGAAAATGGAGAAAACTACAAGAAATAGACACCATGGGAGATTTTAACACATCTCTTGGTATTGAGAGCATAGGAGACCAAAAAAGGTGGGGGTGGCAGAGAATGTAAAATGTGAACTATGTGAGTGTCAGAGTTAACACACTGGAATAGTTGGACCAAGATATGCTTCCAAGGAATGGAGAACACATTCATTTAAGACTTGACTGTACAGCCAGATGAGCACACTTATCTCAAGAAGACAGAAAAGGCCAGGTGCTTCTGGCACTTCTCAATCCGATGGAGTTGATCATCAAGATAACCATCACTCTGAAGTAGAAAACACGAGTCTCCATGTGCTCCATGACCTCCATTAACGGAACACAATTAGTGCCTAAAAATTTCACAAACTCTTAAACCCAATAGACATTGCTAGTGAGTGCTTCCAATAGCGTAAAGAGGACGTAGTTCTAATATCACATTGTTCCAGGTAATAGAAAAGATGCACTCAACTCATCTGAGGTGAACATAGCTTTGATGGATACCAAACTGTACAAGGGAGTACAAAGACTCCTTTAGAAACTCCGTGGTAAAATCCTAAGCCAAAGTGCTGACGAACCAAATCCACCAATACTGGATTTGCACCAAAAATGCAAGCTTTGCTTAGCTTTGAAAAATTGCTCACTGTAGTTCACCATACCAGCATACAAAATGAAGAATACATTTCAATACATGCAGAAATACTTTTGATAACATTCAACAACCATTTAGGAAAAAGAAACTTTGCAGGCCAGAAAGAGAATTTCTTCAGTAAAGGCTATCTGAAGAAAAAACAATGACCATCATACTTAATGGTAAAAATATCAACTTTCAAAACTTTGTTTACAGGAGACTGGCTATATAAAAAGTCCAAAAGAATTGATACATGCTATAGTTTTTCAATTCCAACATCTCTACAACTGGAATGTATCTCTAATACATGGTTTGCCATAATTCAGTTGTCAGTCTTAAGAAGAATGACACATGTGGCGTGCCTTGCACGAGATGGAACATATGTGTAGGAAAATACAGTGAATTGTTAGAGTTTGTGAAAGTTTGGCAAGATTGCTGATAAGTATACTAGCAAAAAATAAATGAAATTTGAAAATAAGAATTATTGATAAATATAATCAAAGTATTAAGGTTATGAAGGAAAATGATATTTAGAGATATATTAAAAGTATTTAGGAGTCAAATGTAATAGAATTGCTTTAAAATATTTTGACAAAGGAAAAAATTTAACAAAATGTTAATTAGTATTAAATCTAGGCAAGAGATATATAGGGGTTCAAATTGTTCCTCTTGATTTTATGTATGCTTTCAATTTTTAAAATGAATTAGTAGTGTTGAGAACATTAATAGAACCCTCCAGTGGAGAGATACACCATGGTCTTGGATTGAAGACTCAACTGTTCCATCCATGTAGTCTCAGGCAAAAAGGCCAACATTTTAAAATGGAACTTCATGAATTGACTCTAAAATATATGAGTCAAAAATAGGGAAGATACTCTTAAAGAAAAAGAATCATGTAGGACGGGTTGTTTTACCAGATATCAAAGTGAAATGAAACCAGACAGAGTTGTATTGGCACAGGGATAAACAGACCAATGGCACAGAACTGAGAGCTCAGAGGATCAGAATTCTGTATGAGGAACTCATACAATTTTGACATTGGTCAAAATTAGCAAAGGCAATCCATCATTCAAAGACTCATCAAAAGGCTTAAAACAAATTAAGAAGCATTTATTCAGCAAGATCTTTAGGGATCTTGTTAAGAACAGTGGGAGACCATTGCAATGGAGTTTGGGCTGAGCCCTCCCCCAACCCCCAAAGGTCTGTCTCGCAGACAACCTGTCCCACAGACAACCTGTCCCACAAAGGTATAGAGGAACTAATGTAACAAATTAGGCCATCCCTCCAACTCACAAACTTATCTCTCTCTTCCTCTTTACACACACATGCACACAATCTATCTATGCCCTACAACTAAAAAAATTATATTAATGTAATCAATTAAAAAATCAGTCCTGCACATGGCCCCAGACAAATTTTATGTTCACCACTCAAGGAGCCTG